GCTAAGTTGGTAAAGATAAAGGACCCCTGACAGTTAAGTCCAGTCGCGAACGACTCTGAGGTTGCGGCGCTCATCTCGCTTTAGTGGCTGAGGGAGCCGACGTTTGTCCGCAGACAGTTTTTTCCGGGTCATGTGGCCAGCATGGCGAACCAGAGCAGCGCACAGAAACACCATTTACCTTCCTGCCGGAGTGGTATCTATTTATCTACTTGCACTTTGACATGCTTTTGAAGTGCTAGGTTGGCAGGAGCTGGGACTAAGCAACGGGAGCTCACCCCATTGTGGGGATTCGAACTGCCGACCTTCTGATCAGCAGGCCCAAAGCTCGGTGGTTTAGACCACAGTGCCACCCGCGTCCCACACTAAGTTGTTAGGAGGTCCCTATTTCCCTCACAGAGTTACACTTGCCAGAGTTCCCTGTGAAGAAGGATTGATCGTTAAAGCCACTCTGGGAATTATAGCTCTGGGCGGTAATATGGGCTTCCTAACAACTCTCATCGCCCTTAACAAAACACAACTCCCAGAATTCTTTGGAGGAGAAGTGTGTCATGGTGTGAATGTGGCCTGAATCCTTTTAAATGTTTTGAGATATCCAAGTCTCTTACTTCGTCACCTTCTTCCTTTCCTTTTTTTTATCATTTAAGGAAATACAATATCCGTTTATTCATAAGCTGTTAAAATATAATACATTGCTTATTATCTGTTGCCTGCAGAAGGTCATCTGCAGGCTGGAGATTCTAGAGGGATGTAAGCTCCTTCCTGTTTGGTGATTGTAGCTTCTGCCTTTTCTTCCTTTCTCACAGAAAAAAAATGAAGCATGAAATGAAGTTTGAAAGTTCAGACCTAGTAAGATGTAAACATACTTACAGTTGGTGGGGGGAATGGGGTGGAGAACCTTTGAAAACTCAAAATTCCTTGCTTTTTTTACTGCAACAATACAGCAAGAAGTGATTGTTTCATTTACATAAGAGACAAATGCAAAACTTTATTGGTATTCAAAGTACACCATACTTTAGCTAACATTTATTCAGTTCTATAATGAACACTGCTCTGGTTTCGCCGACTTAGTCATGCTGGCTTAGTCGGAAGCTGTACACCAGCTCCCTCGGCCAATAAAGCGAGATGAGCGCCGCAACCCCAGAGTCGGCCACAACTGACTCTGACTAATGGTCAGGGGTCCCTTTACCTATAATGAACACAGAGGAGAGATTGAGTGACCCATTGCCCTGCTGGCAGCCTGCTTACTCTGCACAGAGTTCTGTGTTGCCTATGGATGCCAGGTGAGTATTTAAATTGGGTGGAGAAACTTTTCAGGTGCAGACCAGATTCTTATTTCCCCATCCCTGCCACGCCAATTTTTACAGGTGGGCAGGGTTGCTCACTTGTTAGATGCTGCCATTTGTAAATTTTGGTTTGTCCAAACAAGTTAGATCAGAAGCCACGTTTCAATACCGGCATAGTGTTTGGCTGAGTGAAAGTCATGGCGTGGAAGATGACAAATGCATATTGAGGACATATGCTTTTATATTCTCTCCCCTCAATATTACATTGAGACAAGTTTTGTCAATATGGGAAGGACAGAAATTAAAAAAAAGACATTTTAAGAAGGATATTGACATGCTGGAATGTGTGCAGAGGAGGGTGACCAAGATGGTAAAGGGTCTGGAAACCAAGCCTTATGAAGGAATAGTGGAAGGAACTGGGTATGTTTAGCCTGAAAAAGAGGAGACTGAGAGGAGATATAAGAGCCATCTTTCAACATCTCAAGCGCTGTCACATGGAAGATGGAGTAAGATTGTTTTCTGCTTCTCTGGAGGATAGGACCTGAACCAATGGCTTCAAGTTATAAGAAAGGAGATTCAGACTAAACATTAGGAAGAACTTTCTAACAATAAGAGCTGTTTGACCGTGGAACAAATTTATTAGATATATGAACCACAGAGAAATGGCAATGCACCAACATGGTATTTGAGTCCAGTGAGACATTATTTCTGCTGCATTACCTGAATCCTGTGAAAAGAAATAGAAATTAGATGGGGCAATGTCTGTTGTTTTATAATTTTATTGGTCAAAATTTTGGGTGCGTGGCCCAGATAGAAAGCATATTTCATGCAAAGGGTGAAGCCTGTAAAAATGTGAAGACGATCAGTTTATGTTTTAATCCATTTTAAGTGGTTAGGCTGTGTTCATTTACTTGGAAGTAAGCCTTTTGAATGAGTGGCACTTACTTTTCAGTACATATGTTTAGAACTGCACTGTTAAAATATCTTTCAAACTCTTATTTGTGAATTTTCTTTCAATAAACTATCCAGTAATGATTCAGTAATCTCAGTGGAAAAATAAAGCAACAAGATGAAACAAATATTATTTGTAACATAGCCTTTGAAAAATAGCTGTCTTCAACTCAGAATGGGTTTTTGCTCCTGAACATTATCTTTATGTATTGGGGCTGAGGAATTCTGAACTTTTCGCAGGTGCACTACCTGTATGTTAGCAGGAAGCCTTCCAGATCCTATGTCAGCTTAGCTTGAGATAGGAGGGGGGAAATACTTTAAAACACATGCACTTAACAAAATGGTGAACAATCAGACACCCATGTCTGATTGAATTATTATTAGTAACACAATAGTAGGATTTCTAATCCTTACTTCACCATAAAGTCTAAAGGTGGGATTGCAGCAATATGAAAATATAATATTAAAATGAGTTAAAACAATTTACAACCATAAGAATAGGGTCGGTCCATATATATATTCCTTCAAAGGCCAGGGCAAAGAGGTGCATCTTCATCTCTGCCACAGGCTGCCAATCAGGGACTGTCAGCAATGGTACCCATTTGCCATACAGACACAGAGGCATCCAGTAATATCAGGGTATTTATCCAGAACAGCCTTCTGCATCACAGTATACACAGTGATGCCAGAGCACACCCACTCAAGCAGCCACCATGGCTCTCTCCATAGGGTGGGAGGATGGGAAGCAGGAGTTTGGAGTTTGGCTGCTTCTGCCTGGGTGGGACGTAATTTGCACTTGCATTTTCATGATTGGCACAGGACTAGTTGGACGTTGTGTTGTGATCCACCAGGGGAGAGTCTTAGGTTGTTCAAGTATCCCTTTTTTGCACACTTTGGCCTGCTTTTAGGGCCAGGAGCTCAGCTCAGTAAAGACATCAGATTTTAATAATAAGGAAATGGGTTTGGGTGGATTTCCAGAGTGCACATTCTGCATCAACTTGTTAGGAAGAGCTTTATCAGGTCAAAATGTGTGTGGGGCTGTTTTGGCAGGGGATGGGGCAGAAAGGAAGCACTATTTGATCCTTTGCTTCAAGCCATAAAATGCTTTTTGCTGGCCCTGTATAGTAGGAACATCAGGGACCAGATAAAATTGCTTGGGGATCAGATAAAGCTGATGAGCCACCAGTTGACTGCTTCTGTTTTTGACATATAAAAATGTTATTAAAATTGGTTTCCTATTATTTGCTGTTTTTTAGTTTGTGGGCGGCAGCTCAGGATAACAATATAATCTCTGAATCTTAAATGTGGGAGAAATCCCTTTGGTGTGCAGCTGGAGGAGCACTTGAATTGCAGAGCAAAGGGTGGGAGGGAAGGATATCTAGATGCTGCCTTTCTGACTGCTCATTGTGTTTCCCCTTTTTATCTTAAGTGCTGCAGCCTGTTTAAGTCAAAAGGGAGGCAGAGAAAGAGGCACATGGAAACTGTCATGCTGCTGTTATGCCAGTCTTAGAACAGATCTGTTTTTGTTTTGCTAGCTGCGCTGAGAAGAAGCATGGAAAGCATGCTTTGCTGCTTTCTAATCTAGAACCATGGGTTCAGGTACACTGCATGTTGGTGGCAGATAGGTGTTTCCTCATTTTACCAGCCTTAAGGATGAGCAAAGTAATGTTATCTTTGGAGAGCAAGGATGGAATGGTGGGAGGAAGAGAAGGGCAACCAGAGATGAATGATGGGCGAGGGCCTCCCTCAAACTCATTCACAGTTTTGTATGAAAGCATTCAAGGTATTTCTCTAGGGTTTTGTGTCCTTTCAGCACTGTATTTGTATTTGTTGTTGTTGTTATTGTTTAGTCGTTTAGTCGTGTCCGACTCTTCGTGACCCCATGGACCAGACATGCCAGGCACTCCTGTCTTCCACTGCCTCCCGCAGTTTGGTCAAACTCATGCTGGTAGCTTTAAGAACACCATCCAACCATCTCGTCCTCTGTCGTCCCCTTCTCCTTGTGCCCTCCATCTTTCCCAGCATCAGGGTCTTTTCCAGGGAGTCCTCTCTTCTCATGAGGTGGCCAAAGTATTGTATTTTTTAATCCCTCCTTATTATAAAATTGTGATGATTGACACTGCTCCAAGTATACATTCCTTTAGTTTTTGAGCTCTGTACACCACTGGAACTATTATAGGGGTCGGGGACAAAGCGGACCTGCTGGTCTTTCTGCTGACGAGCCAGACCCTTAGGAGCGTATTTGATTCTGCCAGCTTCCTTGTCATAGTTCTATTAAAAAATGGAATTGGCCCAGCAAAATTCAGGACCATGGAAGTGGGGAGGGAATAAAGCCAGATAACATGGGGTTTGAGTTAAGTTATAAATGTAGCATTTCACTTCTTTGTAATATGCTGCTGTGTAATTGTACTATGTAATGTGTAAGGTTGGTTGTGCGGTTTTAAATCATGCTCTGAGTGATTTTTGTTTTTGTATAATTGATGGATTTGGGTTAAAGAAGATTTGGATTTGGCTATTCCTTTTGTTTCTAGTAGTTAATTAAGATGACTATTAGAATTTTACGCACAAGTGTAAAGGCGGTCTTGTTGACCCGTTAAGGCATTTATATTCCCTTTTTCTACCAATGTAGTACAGTGCTCTATTCTTTGACAGGTCTGAATCACGTGGGTGATTTTTACTGCAACAGCAGCACCATCTTCTGGCTACAAATGATATATATTTGAACCCCCCCCCTTTTGTTTCCCTTTACAGTCCAGTGTAAGGGCCTTTTGTCAAACGCCTTGTGACTTGAACATTTTGGCTCCTGAACACTGCAAACCCAGAAGTGAGTGTTGCCATTTGCAAATGTTATTTGGAACCCGAACGTCTGACGGGGCTTCTGATTGAGTGCAGGAAGGCTCCTGCAGCCAATCAGAAGCTGCTCCTTGGTTTTCGAACGTTTTCGGAAGTTGAATGGACTTCCGGAATGGATTCCACTCGAGAGCCAAGGTATGACTGTACTTTTTATGATGCTTAAAAAACCCCCAAACCTTTATTTTAAGCAGTAGAACCAGGGGCTTTGTAGAGGAGAGCAGAATGAACAAAATAAGGAGTCAGGTGGCATCTTTAAAACTAACAAATTTATTATGGCATAAACTTTTGTGGACCGTTTATTTCATTAGGTGCATGAATTGGCATGTTAGGTACATACCTCACTGTAGAGACAAATGTAAGCTCCTCTGCCAGCTGCGGACAACTTCATGCATCTTGCGGTGGATTCTAGTCCACAAAAGCTTCTGCTATAACAAAAGATCCTCCTCCTTTTTTGTTGCGACAATCTAACATGGCTGTTCCTCTGGAAACCAGAGTATTTGTTGGGTAAGAGAATGTGTCTGTCTCTCTTCTCGGAAATATGGGTGATAAAGTTAATGGAGAAGCAGGCAGGCCCACAGGGTTCTCAACCTGCACAAACAAGCTTGCTCTTGGTTTTGTTTTTGGGGGGGATGGGATGGTAATTTGCATTGAATAGTATTCTACTGAGAGACAAAGACAAGATGGAGAGATGCGTAATTGGTTGCATATGTTTTGCTTTCTTTCTCCGTCCATTTCCCCTTACAGGTAATACAGTATTGGCCCGAATAAAAGCATCACTTTTTCTCCAAATTCTGACAGCTAAAAGTTAAAGTGCAACTTATATTCGCGACCTTCCTTTCCCCCAATGGCTCTGGGGAGCTTGGAGGCAAGGGGCGGGCTGCGCGCCATTGCCCCATGCTCCCAGGCTGCTTTCTGGGGGGGGGGAGTTGCAACAGCAGCCCAGGAGCGTGGGGCAATGGTGCGCAGCCTGCTCACCACTCCCAACCCTTCCTTGGGGGGGGGAGGAGGGGAAGGCCACCAGCAAAGCGGTGCGGCTCCCCCCCCCAGCAGCCTGGGTATTGTCTCCCCCCCCTTCAATTTTAAAGGTGCGGCTTATTTGGGGGTGCGTCTTATATTTGGGCCAGTACGGTATGTCATTCAAGCTGAGCTCATTCCACTTTCCCCTTTGTGCTTGTTTAAGCTGCAAAGGAGTAACTAGCCTTACTGTTTAAAAGTTTTATTGGGAATTAGTGAGGGAAACTAGCTCAGAACATGCGGCACACAGCTCACGTCTTCAGAGGCCAGCCTCTTCCCCTCCCCACCATCTAGTAAGGCCCAGACTGAAGAGAAGCAAGTAGGGTGCCACCAACATGGGTCAAGGCCTTATGCTGGTGCAGTTTTGTTGACTGTGCAAGTTGGTTTCTGGCAGCCCAAGGATACTGTGCACCTACAGATCATACAGAACACCCCAGATATAGGGGGAAAGTCTGTGCATATGTATAATTTCAACTTCTAATATTTGCAGTGCAGGGGGTCAGGCTAAATGACCCTTCGGGTCCCTTCCAACTCTATGATTCTATGACTGCAGTGAATGTTTTCTGTTTTTAAAATAAAATCCAGTTATGTTTACATGACACTGTTGACACCCCACCTTAAGAACTGCTGACTTGGGAATAAAAACCCCATACTTTCTCTCCCTCTACCCACCCAGTTTCTTTGTTCAACATATGGCTTGATAAAGAGTCCTGGAAAACTGGAATTTGCTCACAATTTTGTGATATTTTGATGGGTCCTAATAAAAATATATTGAAGGTAGTATGATAACCTTGGATACAAAGCTAGTATACCAGGAAAAAGTGCGCTAGCTCAGCCTTTTCTCTGCTATGGTAGCTTTCTGTATGCAGGAAATATTTGTGTATGGAAGCATACAGTGGTACCTCAGGTTAAGTACTTAATTCGTTCCGGAGGTCCGTTCTTAACCTGAAATTGTTCTTAACCTGAAGCACCACTTTAGCTAATGGGGCCTCCTGCTGCCGCCACACCGCCCGAGCACGATTTCTGTTCTCATCCTGAAGCAAAGTTCTTAACCCGAGGTAATATTTCTGGGTTAGCGGAGTCTGTAACCTGAAGCGTATGTAACCTGAAGCATATGTAACCTGAGTTACCACTGTATTCAATGATGTAAGAATGAAGTGGTGCAACTCAGGTTTGTCGTGCCCATGAGATCTGAGCTGTGGGTTCCACAGGAGGAGGGAGGATGATGCACCCGAGTCTTCATTAAAGAGGATGCAAGGCCTCCTTTTTAGTCTAATGCAGGGCAAGCTACAAATTGTGGTGTTGGGACACAGTTTCTGTAATAAAAGAACCGCTCTTCCATTATCCAGCAGCAACAGACTAGAGATCATAGAACTCTTCTCCCCCCCCGCCATACCTATCATGCTACCAAATACCTGCTTCTAATAATAAATACTTAAGTAATGCATTATCATGAAAGTAATCTAGGGTTGCCATATTTCAGAAAGTGAAAATCTGGACAGAAAAGTTGTGGAGGTTTTTTTTGGTTGCTTTTATTGGCCAAAGTTGTTGGCAAAACGACACTGCCGACATGGGCTGCCATATGTCCGGATTTTTTTGGACCTTTCGCCGATTTCCAACCAGACACTGCTTACGGTTGCAGTATTCCAGATATGTCCAGATGTATGGCAACCCTATATAATCACCCAAACTTGACTGTGCCTCTTTCATTCATTCAACTTGTGTTGCATTCTCCTTTAGATTCTAAAAGTATTGTATTTCTTCCTAGGTTGAAGACCTGTGTGGGCATTTATACTCAGAGAAGGTAAGCAACCATTAGGACAGGTAAGCACTTCTTTAAATGATGATAAGATTCTACAGTAGTTATCTCCTTTCCCAGCAGTGAGTTTGCACTCCTGGTAGATAGGTTTGGAAACCAGATTTGGCATCATTACTGACAGTTTCTAGGGTTAGTCTTGTGTTGTTTTATTATGTTATGTGTCCCTGTCAGTAGGCAGAATCATGTATACATGGATTCTGGTCTCACCAAGCAACCATTTTGAGGAATCACACCTACAAACAGGGATTGGGAATAAATTGGATTCAGTTTACATTTAAAGGCAAACTTACAAAATCCACACTTTCTGAAACAAAAAACAAACCAAAACTCAGCCCAGCTTTGAAAAGGGCACTTCTCTGAATTTTTCAGTGCAGCTCTCCAGCCAAGCAATGTGTACAAAATGTATATATTAGGGTAACTTGTGCATATATTAGTGAAAATAATATACCGAAACACATTGTATTAGGGAAACTGCTTTGCAAAAATGTGTATTGTAAGAGAAATTCAGGAGGAGAGGACTATCAATGGCTACTAGGCGGGATGGCTATTCTCTGCCTCCACAGTTGGAGGCAGCAGTGCTTCTGAATACCAGTTGCTGGAAAGGAGGAAGTGGAGAGGGCTCTTGCGCTCATGTTCTGCTCGCTGGTTTCCCACAGGCATCTCATTGGCCACTGTGAGAACAGGATGCTGCACTAGATGGGCCATTGGCTATTCTTGTCTTCTTAAATCTACACTAAAATGCTGATGAATTTTCACGAGGATTTCATCACACCCCCCCCCCCCAAAAAAAAAGAAATTGCAGACTGTTGTGGAACTGAAATTAAGATAGGAAAAACTAGAAACTAAGAGAAACATCCATCCTATGTTCATCCATCCTTAGTTCCTGAATCCTATGCTAGTTTCATGTAGTCATCAGGTAGCCTGTCAACCAGAAGACCCTGACTTTCCTGGAAGTGTTCCATGCTGGATTTTCATGGAGAGAAAATGACAATAATGAGATTTATAAAATAGCAGAATATGAGTTGCCGGTCATGCCATTGTTAATTAACAAGGGGTATCTATACCAAAACATACATGAGAAATCCTCCTTCTACTTTAAGGACACATTATGCTTTTTTATATTGATAAAAATGCTTTTTTTTAGTGATTTCTATTTAAATAGGCGTAGGATTGCATTCAACTAAGTTTTACTCAGAATAGATGCATTGAAATGAGTGAACATGACTAATTTAGGCCCATTAATTTCATTTTGTCTACTCTAAGTAAATGAATACCGCCCATAAATTTTTAAAGAGTACTGTGCATATTTTGTTTACTTAATGTTTGACATATCTTTATAGAGCTCAGTGCTGTCATTTATCATCTAGCACGGTGTTTTTAAAATCCATTTAAGGTTGCCTTGGCATGCTGAGGCTCATGGTTAGCTATAAATAAGACTCATGAATCTGTTATGTTGGGATGTAAAATGTGGTGACCTCATAGATGGAAAAGGCAACAGAAATCATAATCACTAAGCAATTCAATCATTTTAACAACAATATAACTTTTGATGCAATTAGACACTGGAACTGCAATTACCTCAACTAACTAGCATAGGTTCCTGCCAACCTAGCAGTTGGAAAGCACGAAGTGCAAGTAGATAAATAGGTACCGCTCCGGCGGGAAGGTAAATGGCGTTTCTGTTCGCTGCTCTGGTTTGCCAGAAGCGGCTTAGTCATGCTGGCCACATGACCTGGAAGCTGTATGCCGGCTCCCTCGGCCAGTAAAGCGAGATGAGTCCCGCAACCCCAGAGTCGGGCACGACTGGACCTAATGGCCAGGGGTCCCTTTACCTTTAACTAGCATAGGTAGTATAAGAAAATATATTTTGAAAGTGCAAGGGGCAAGCTACAGAAGAACTTTCGACTGTAAAGATAAATAATGTTTTACTCATGTTGCCCCCTAGACACTCAGGGTTGCTATTCTTAAGCAGAAACGATTCTGAGCACAGTTTGAATGCGAGGCTGCAGAATTAGGTCAGTAGTCAGTCAGGCTGAAAAAGTTTTATCTGCTCCCTTGGCAACAAAATTAAATCACTTTCTTTGCAACATGTATTCATACATATAAAGTTGACTTTATGCTGAGACATCATATAAGTGACTCTGTCCATAGGATACTAAGTGTGGTAAAAATTTGTCAGCATTCAAAAACCTCTGCAGCACTCATTTCACTGGACATCCTTAGATAACTTTGAATGGACCTACATTCAAATCTGTGAGGCTTGACTGTCTCTTTAAAGCCTTTTGCAGTAGAGTTTAATAGTTTGCACAGCAATAGAGCAGGGAATAAGGCTGTTAAGCCTATTTGGAATCCTATCTGGGCACCTGGGATTTGCTACCCTTCCTCTCCCCTTTTCACTAATAATCAGACCAGTCTTTTACTTGAGCATAAAAAGATTTACTTTTTTCATTGCAGTGTGAAATATAGACACAGGAACAGTACATCTTAAAGCAAAATACAAAAATTTGCATGAGGATGCTTTATGTGTCTGCAGAGGATAAGAACAGAAATCGTGCTCCGGCGGCGCGGCAGCAGCCAGAGGCCCCATTAGCTAAAGTGGTGCTTCAGGTTAAGAACAGTTTCAGGTTAAGAACGGACCTCCGGAACAAATTAATTACTTAACCTGAGGTACCACTGCAAAGGCCTTATAGTTCTTAAACCCTTGGTTAATGGCAGTCTATGTACAGTTGTATTTGTCAGCATTAAATTTCCCACAATAGTAACAATTTCATAGCACCAGAACAAAGCATAGTTTCTCTTTTTCCTCTTAGGCTTACTATGCCTTTATGTGATTCTAAGCCCATCTCTTCTGTGTATCAAGCTGTGTATGCTTTGTAATAACCTCTGCGAATGGACTGTTTTTCTTTAGCTGCACTTTATTGAAAATACAATAAAAATACTGTTCTAAACAACCAAGGATAGGCACAGTTGGCATCTTGCCGCTTATGACAAGAAAGTACCCAGTATGGATGTGATATATTGCTAATTGTCTTTAATGCATGTATTTTTCAATATCAGATAATGATCGGGAGATTCAGAGATTCAAAAGTCACACATTTGGCAGCAGTGGCCAAATTAGGAAGTGGCCAAGAATTAGGAAAGCAGGCAGTGTAGCTCTGGGCTGATCATGCAATCTGCTTGGTATAGTGTAGGAGTTGCTAACCTGTGGCCTGTGGGCTATATCTGTCCACCCAAATGTGATTTTGTGCCCCCCCTTCCCCTGTTGTCTTTATTTATTTATTTAAATGATGCTTCCATTGTTGTGGCGTGTGTGTGTGTATACACACACACACACACACACACACACACACACACAGTGGTACCTCGGGTTAAGTACTTAATTCGTTCCGGAGGTCTGTACTTAACCTGAAACTGTTCTTAACCTGAAGCACCACTTTAGCTAATGGGGCCTCCTGCTGCCGCCGCGCCGCATTTCTGTTCTCATCCTGAAGCAAAGTTCTTAACCTGAAGCACTATTTCTGGGTTGCGGAGTCTGTAACCTGAAGCGTATGTAACCTGAAGCGTATGTAACCTGAGGTACCACTGTATATGACAGTTCCAGTGCATCCCCTTTTGGAAGGCAGCTAACAGCCATTCTTGCCACCCCCACTTCAGCCTCCAGAAAGCTGGCTGTGGTTCATTGTGGCCTTGGCCTGGAGATGGTTAGCTGCCCCTTCCTTAATGGTTATAATCTTCCACCAGAAATCTCTGAGTTCAAATCCCCACACAGTCAGTTTCTACCTCAGAGCTTTTATTAGGATAAAAATGGGGAAATCTCATGTAGAAAAAACCCTACCCCTTGTTTTTAAGAAAGTGTGGGATACATAATATATTCTTCAAGCTGGATAAAAACAGGTCAGAGGTAAATTGGAAAATTAGCTACTTTGGTCTAATTCTCAGACATCTTAATCACGCAAGCTGAAACATTCAAAATATACAGATAACTAAGATTCCACATTTTGTCTTCCAGAAGGAAACTCTCTACACCAGTCTAGAGGCTGAAGAACTTTTTCACAATGGACATAGATGATGAAGAGAATATGAGTAAGATGTTCATGTTATACAGTGCTAAACCCATTACTGTTTCTGCAGCTGCTTAGTGCTTTCCCTTTTCAAGTCAGTCACCTTTTGCTTCTAATCCCGCCTGACATTCAGAGGAGTTCCCTACTTTTATTCTATGGAAAGAATTATGTTATAATAATTTGTACAGTCCTGGAAAAAGAATACTGAATTACCACGGAAATTAATAAGTTTTAAATGCTTCATGTGCTCAGGAGCTGTTGTTTTCAGTGGGTGTGCAGGCCCAACGGTATGCATGTTTACTCAGAACTAAGCCCCACTAAGTTAAGCCCAAGGTGGTAGTCCTAGACACAGTTTCCTGAGAGTAAGCCTAACTGTATTTGATGTGGTTTACTTTTGAATAGATGCACATAGTCTTGCTTAAATTTCTGTGGTCACTGAGTCACACCTTTTTATTTTATTTAGTTGACCTTCCTAACTTTCATCCTCCGTTCCTTTAAGTCAGTTTTCATTTTAGAATGCAGTTTCTAGAATATCTAAGAATATTGGCTATAGGACTGATGTCATAGCAGATCTTCACTACCATTAGAATACATGCTCCTGAGTAATGTGCATTGATACCTGGTTCCGGCTTACCTACCACAGCAGACAAGGTAGCAATTTTTCATGGATGCATATGTGAATTTCCTGCCAAAAGTATAAGGGTTAATGATCCCTTCTTATCTGCCTTAACTACTAAGTGCTAAAGTATTTGTGCTCAATGCCTGGGCATGTCATTAAAATGTGCACCTGCAATGGTTTTGTGAAACCAGCCAGACTTCAGTAACACCATATTTTCAGTATCATTTGGGATCACAAGGTGGGTTTTTATACCCCTTTGGTTTTTTGGCTGGTTTTAGCCATTTTAAAGACCATAGCACTTTTCAACAGCTGTGATTAATGTCATGATTGTTTGTCTCTTTTTATTCTGGAAACATTTTAGCTAGCATTTTCCTTCTTGTGGAAGTATGGCATAGATGCAACCATAGGTCAGGCACCTCCCTTGCTTCTGATGTATATCAGCCTTCCAGGTTGGAGAAGGCTGATACAGATGAGCATATGTGAAAAAGAAGGAAAGCATGTTTAACACATGGCTTGGTTTGCCCAGTTTTTGATAGATCAATATTCTCATATACTGTATTATACTCCTTTTGATTTGTTGTCCGTACGGGTTTCTGAACACACAGTCAAGTACTGTGCCCCCATGTTGCTTTGATGTTTGAGATGTGTTACTGGGCTAAAGTGGATGGGAGATTTGGAGGGAAGTTCCCTACTTCTGAGTAGACTCCATATGCCACTAGGACTCCCGCAAGCCCTGGCTTAGTTGACAAGCAGGTAGTGGCAATTAACAGGAATGTGTGCCTGTTGCCAGTGAGCTACCCTACTTGGTGGCACTGGAGCAGGGTGTCAGCATTTTATCATATATGCACTTCATTCATCTGATGAAGTGGACTGCCCTCCACAAAAGGTCATGCCATAATAAATTGATTGATCCTTAAGGTGTCTGGCGACCAATAGGGCCAAAATGGAGCCCAGCAGACTTCCTCTGCGCACGCAGCTCCCTGCCGATCATGGAAACGTCCTCCTGCCTCTTTGGTCGGTTTAGCAGAGCTATACGCAACGGTGAAAACTGCTGCAGTGTGTGGGTAATAAATCAGACTTGCACGCAGGCTTCTCTCTTATCTCTAACAGCCTTTATTCGGGTAGCATAACATCGTAAATTCAGTCTTAAGCACCCGGTGATGACTCGCACATCTTTCCTCTCCGGCAGAGCGGAAGAGAAGAACACACACAGAGAAAACACTCCCGTATGTGTAACGTAACCACGCCTCATGATGTGAGACGTCATTCAGAACAGTTAACCCTGTACGTTCTGAATCCCTTAACAAGGTGCCACAAGATTCACTGTTTTTTTCTGCAAGAGACTAACAGGACAACCTTTCTGGAAATTGTATACCTCTTTCTGCCACCAACAAATGTTGCATAATTGTTTATACCATAGCAATCCTGTCTCCACCATGCCATTTTGACTTTCTGAAAAAGTCAAATCTCCAGCCTGAGTCTTTCTCTTGGGGGGATAATTCCCCCTTTTGCATTTTATTTGTCTGTACAATACAAGAGAGAGCAAAAATATACTGATGAAGATATAAAGAACCACACAATTAATTCTACAAACCCAGGGAGTTTGCGGCCTGTGCATTGTACACATGGTACACTGAAATGAAGAGAGAACAATTCTGCGATTCTATGACTAAATGCTAACTGTTCTAAATATAAAAGTAAAAAATCTTGCTAGGCATTGCCGCTCAATAGCTCTTCGCATTTTGGTCATTGAATACATAAAGAATCACATCTTTGTATGATTGAAGACTGTGGATGATGTGTGTACTATGCATATTGCTCTTGAGTTGATGAAATGAGAAATACCAAAAGTATTTCCCACACTTTGTGTTTTTAAAATGACTATCTTCATTTATATGACATTTTCATAGACTGCTCCTGATTAATTCAGTACCACATTTTGCAAATCACTTGTCTTCTATTTAAGGATCTAAAGGCCCTAACAATAACTCATAAAGAAAGAGGAAGTGTGTAGGATGGGATGTACCCCAAAAAACCCACATGAACTGTTTGAAAGCATCATACAGTTATGCTGTCATTTTAGTGATTTGACACTAGAGCTCTGGCAATTAATTTTGCCCTGGTTGCAAATCAAATGGCCAAAAATTCACAAAAGCTCCTTTTTGGAAAGAAAGTGTGCGGCTAAGCATTTTTGAAAGCCTCAGCACTTAATAAGAAAGAAAAGAAGGAGCAGTGGACTTAAAAAAACCTGAAACCTATAATGTTTGAATTTACAGTTTTCAAATGGAAGTTTATGCTTAATTGGAAAATGATTTTCAAGAGCAAACATTTCAACAGGCTGGGTATTTATGTTCCTTATCTTCTTTCAAGGACTAGCCCTTTTTCCGAATGTTCTGTCTTCTTCATTTCAGGACTGGTTAACGAAAAGCCTGCATCTTGAACAATCTATTTTATAAATTTCTCTAAGGAACTGAATTGCTTGTTAATCTGGTTCCGATCATGTATGCTTGAAGGGGGAGGTTACTTGCAAATGTGTGTCTCTAGGGTCATCACCTTACACATCAGTCTTAAATTTATTCCCTCAAGGTGGAATAAATCTGCATGTCTGATCTGCTGCTATTGTTATGTTGCAAATAATATCAACTGTGTGCTTAATAGCATTTTATGCAGATGTAACTGCTCTGAAAAGGCTATGTCTGTACACATATAAAATTTTCTATTTGAGGTAAAATTTAAGATATAACAGAACGTGTTTCAAAGGAAATAGTTCTTAAAAATATGAAAAACTATTGATTCCTTTCATTTTATTTGCCACTATTTTACATTTATTTCTTCTCTTTTTAACCTGTATATTTCTATCCACTCTCTTTTAATTTTCTGTTATTTTGAGCACCGAAAGGAGTAACTTATCGAGCTTTTGCTGGAGGATGTTATAAATGAAAATTTAATAACTGTTCCATCAACTTTGTCAACTGGGTGAAGTGGTGTCTGTGTGCTTTTAATTGTAGGATTTAACACAAATTTAAATATACTTTCCAGAGCAGCAAATTTTGAATCTTAATCATGCCTCCTCAATGGTGTGATTATAGGCATCTGAGATTGGGTGGGGTTCTTTGGTAGAATTTATTTTATGTTTAATTGTATTGCTTCATGTTTGGCATATTTAAAGAAGCTTGCCATTTGTAACAAAGTGTTTAGAAAATTGAATTTCTGTATTACTACCAAGGCATCAGTGTTTAAAAGTATTATGTCTATCTAATGTAATGTTCAGATAAGTATTTTAATATAGTCAAATAAATTTACTGCCCCCAATAACCTTTTTTTTTTTTTACATTCTGAATATACAGCTCTTGAAAAGTTTTATGTTTAATACAGGCAGCTCCCGACTGACACACAATCGCTCACACATGCACGGAGCCCAACCCGGAAGTGACCCTAGAACGTCACTAAAAGGTTGGAATGAGGACGGAGCAGGGGCAGAACGCTTTACGCGGGCCCCGCCGACATGCGCAGGGATCTGGAATGTAGCCCCGTGCAAAATGAAGATTGCCTGTATTTATGATAAGGTGCCTAGTTGGTTAGTAGGACAGTTGGAATTCTAGTCTTTTAGAATTTGAAGTTTACATATTCCATCTACCTGCTTCAAAGTAGTGTCTTGTTTCTTTATTTAGTAGCTTTATATGTGACTGTGGCTGAGCAGCAGTTTGTAACACTAGGGGGTTCCAATAGGAAATGGCATAGAATTGCTGATGAACAAGGTATGAGAATTTGTTTTCTGGGGGGGGGGTGGATTCCAATAATTGATTATTGCAGTGGGCTTGGGCCCAACTTTGGTGGTGAAGGGAGGCCCCCCTCCACTGCTGAAGCAATCATGGGGTGGGAGAATCTAGCTGAAAGAAAAGTATCCTCTCCTACCAGTGACATGAAAGACATGTCTGTGTGCATCCTTCAGCAGCACCTTTGTGTCATGGGGTTGGGGTGGAGGCTGGGGTTTTTAAAGACCCTATTTTACTGTTCCATCCCCGCAGGTTTGTACCTTCAGATGGATGCTGAAAGTTGCAAATAGATAGATCTATCTTATCTTTAAGTCCACTACAAAATCTCTAATTGGAACACCTTTGCACATTACATGACAGTGAGATTATAACAGAGAACTCCGCTACATCTGTTGGGATTTGTGTTTAGAAATGTAAATGTCATAAGTAAATACTATTTACTTAGAATATGTTTACCTGCTACATGATAGTGGGTTTATAAGAAAGATGCCCGCTGTATATTCAGGGATATGAATTTAAGGGTGTTTCAGTAACCTGCCTCAAACATCCTCCCAGCACATGAGGCTGGCCCTGTTCCAGCATGCCACTGTCTTCTGGTCTGCCCTCTGGCAGCTGCACATTCAGAATCAAGGTGAAGGGACTTCCATGCATGCAGGTGTCAAATGCCTATGAGCACTCAGTGTCAGGGACTTGGCTTTCTTCCATGTTCTTGCTCCCTCAATGTCTTTAGAGAACATGTTCACCCAGTTTGCCTTCCGCATATTCACTGCATTCAGATGTAACGTTTCACCATGGAGCACTCTGCGCATGGGCTGGGAGGAGGACTTTGGGAGCCTTTACTTTCAGTTTCCCTTACTCAGCTAACCACAGCATTATGGTGCACATAATGCTAAACCATGCTTTAGCCCTAGGTGCACAAATTGGAATGCGTCTGAGCTTCCTTCTCCTCTTGCATGGCTGGCAGAAGGACTTTGCAGCGTTTATTTTCAAAATATCCTGGTTTAGACTGTAGTTTAAAACAAGTTCTGATTAGTTCAGGCATAGGCAAACTCGGCCCTCCAGATATTTTTGGCCTACAAATCCCATGATCCCTAGTTAACAGGACCAGTGGTCAGGGATGATGGGAATTGTAGTCCCAAAACATCTGGAGGGCCGAGTTTGCCTATGGCTGGATTAGTTAAACAAGCCTGGTTCTTAACCTGTGATCTGAAGTTTCTGGTTTAGAAACTTCATTCTTTAGTGTCACCTGTAAACCAGCCCTTTGTTAAAACAGCGATCCTGCATTCAGCTTACTTCTGGAGTCGACTGCTCTGGAGCACCCGTGTAACATGACTACCACATAAAGCACAAAGCAGGTTTTACTGTATAAGTCAATAACTTGAATGTTTGCAGGCAAGAAATAGTATACTCTCCTTTTCTCAACAAGATGCATTGAGTTAGTCATTTTTTTCAAAGGAAGAGGGATCTTCCTCAATATACAGATGAGCAGGTGCCTGATATTACCTGCATAGATAATCTTAAGTGATTGCCCTGTGGATTCTGATGTTTGAGGTTAATTGGATATTAAATGAATGTAAATGGGGGTTACAACATTTTGGCAGTTACTGGCTCATTTATTTTTGTTTTAGAATTAGGGAGGATAATTTAACATATAAATACTAATAGGTGTTTTGGTGCAGAATTAAAACTTTTTATCAGCATATGCCAATATCAGATGTCTGAATATTTACTCAGTGTATGTTTCTGAGTTGCCTATTACACCTAATAAAGATATTAATATTTGAGCACACATCACTTAACCAGTTGCAAAGATAGATAAAGGAATCTGTAAATTTTACATTTACAAGGTCCTGCAACGAAGGCATTGTAAGTTACTCTTTCTGGGCACCACAGGTTCAGGCAGCATTGATGTTAAAGAGAACCGCAACATGGACAACATTTCACCTAAAGATGGGAGTGTGCAAGGCGCCGGAGAGGGGAACCAGCTCTCCAATGGTGGCGGCGCCAGCAGCAGCAGGAAACGACCCTTGGAAGAGGGAAGCAATGGCCACGGCAAGTTCCGCACAAAGAAAAGGAAGAAAACACCAGGGCCGGTCTTGCCCAAAAATGCTCTCATGCAGCTGAATGAAATCAAGCCTGGCTTGCAGTACAAGCTTCTCTCCCAAACAGGACCCGTTCATGCCCCTATTTTTGTGATGGCAGTAGAGGTTAATGGGCAGCTGTTTGAAGGCTCCGGCCCTACCAAAAAGAAAGCCAAGCTCCATGCAGCCGAGAAGGCCCTGAGGTCCTTTGTTCAGTTTCCAAATGCTTCGGAAGCACATCTCGCCATGGGAAGAACTCTTTCCGTAAATACGGACTTCACCTCTGATCAGGCAGATTTCCCAGATACCCTCTTCAATGGCTTTGAAAACCCCGCCCAGTCTGATCTTTCCTTTTACCTGGATTCCAACGGAGATGGTTCCTTTAGCTCCAGTGCAGACTATAATTTGTCATCTTCTGTGGCCTGTAGCCTTGTACAGTCGTCTCTCCCTGCTCCATCACCATACCCCTCCACAAGTGGGAAGAATCCAGTCATGATACTGAATGAACTTCGGCCAGGCTTAAAGTATGAATTTCTCTCAGAAAGTGGAGAGAGTCACGCTAAGAATTTTGTAATGGCTGTGTCAGTGGATGGCCAAATGTTTGAAGGATCTGGAAGAAACAAAAAACTTGCAAAAGCACGGGCTGCTCAATCAGCTCTTGCATCCTTGTTTAACATGCAGTTGGATCAAACACCATCTCACCAACCTATTCCTAGTGAAGGACTTCAGTTACACCTGCCTCAGGTGAGAAAACATTTTCCTTTATGTGTTATAATGGGCTAATCAGTTAATTAAAAAATACTCAAGTTACAACCTTTCGTTTTAACAGTGCATAAATAGTGTTTGTTGTATTTGAGTTCCTTCAGTGTGTTATTTCTGGCAGGGGTACAAAATATCCACTTAGACTGCTAATTCTCTTATGTTTGATGCTGTGAATGGGCAGAATATTTTATACTTCTTGAGAAATTAAGTTAACCTAATGTATGATTTGACTGAATGAGCAGGTGAAGCAGAATGCAGTATACATGAACTGCACATCATTGCAATGTCACGAACTGTAGCATTTCCCTGGCATTATAAGGTGATGTCTTTCCAATGCAGCAGGGCTGTTTTGCTGATGAGCCACCATTGCCTTGTATAATAGCAATGTGCAAAAAGGAGTTTCTGCTACACAGAACTGGATATACAGAGGCAAGGATTGGTGGGACTTACCTAGGCAACAACATCTTTTAAGGGCTAACTACAGTGGTATACCGCTGTACCTCTGACATTAGTAGCAGCCCCCCTTCGCCCCATCCATACACTGGGAACTCTGCCATCAGAGACAAGTCTGTTCAATAGATAGTGTTTGCCTCTACTCCAACACAGACCCTGAGGGCACCCCTTTAAAGTTCTCGCTCGAGGTGAAGGACTGTCATTTTCTTCTGAGGAAGATGGTAAAGAATCACACATAGGCATATTGCTCCCCCAACTGCTCACGGTAGAGTTGAAAAAAGACACCCACCCACTGGACCCTGTTAATGGTTCAACCCTTGGGCACTGCCCAGCCATATTTTTCCCTGAGTGCAAGGACTTCTGCCTGTGCAGTGGACCTTCCCTCCCACTCCTCTCCTCCTGCGCCCTCCCTACATCTGCTCTGAAGGACTGAAGGAACCCCCAGAACAGATTTAAGGAGGATATGTGGGGAGAGGAGAGGGAGAGGAAGTTTTATTGCATGGCCAAAAGTCCTTGCGCTAGCAGAAGTTTTTAGTTGGATACCACCCCTTATTTTATTCCATGGTCTCTGCAGGAGACAAATATGCCCCTATTCCTGACACTCCAATGTTTGGGGGCAGGTTTTGATCCCATTCTAACAATGTCCATATACTGTAGTATACTTTGCTCTATTTTTTATAGAATGCAGTGCTACATGCAATTTTATGAGAGAAATTAGTGCTCATACTTTCTGTGGTGCCACTCATCTTCCCACTGTATGGCTACCTTGCCTTTGTAGAGGGGAGACTAGGGATCCTGGAAGCAATGAAACTATGAGCATTGCCTCCACCATCTTGCTGGATCAAGAAACTTGTGGTAGGTAGCATTTTTAATTCCTCCAGTTCAGTGCAGTGTTGCTCATAGATCTGTCTTAGCTGAACACAATACACACCTGTGCTGTCAAAGCAGGCCTCCAAAGGAAGCATGTGGTGAACCCACACTCTGCTCCGATTCCCAAACCTAGCTTGCACAACGCTGTGGTACCTGAGGTTATCAGACATCACTGCCTGAGCACCATTAACCACACATGGCAACTGAAGGTCAGAAATAGGCAACATGAAGAGAGAGAGAAAATAAGCAACCAGGATGACCAGTCAGAGCAACTAAGTACTGGGATTCGGGGGAGGTAGAAAGAACAATGGAAAACTTACAGGGGTTAGGGAACAAGATCCTGCAGGAGGGCTCAGTGGGAAGTGACCTTCTGATGCCCCCTTCTAGATCTCATGGAGTCAGCTGCCATGGGAGCTGTCTGCAGCCACCGCCTCCTCCGATTGTCATCTCATTCTTCCTTCTGCATACATTAGCCACAGGTTTGGGAATATGGAGAGGCAATAGCTGTTAAGTATTTTTATACAAACTCCTTGAAGCCTATAAAGCTCCTGATTCAGTTTGAAAAGAATGAAAGTGAACATAGGTCATATTGATTTCCTGGTAAATACCGTATTTTTCCGTGTATTTTGGGGAGCGCCAAATTAAGAAATTTTAAAATTAAGAAAGTTGGGATTTTTTTGGGAAATTGCAAAAACAGTTGTGGAGTATCTTTTGTAAGTTTGTTGAGGACTCACCACATACTCTTCCTAAACCGAGAAGAGCAGCCCAGCGGCCCCCTTGCCTCCGTCCCCTGCTACTGCCGCAGCTCCACCAGCCCTTGCTTACGTACCGCATTAACCCATGTATAAGATGACCCCCAATTTATCACGAAAGATTTTCAAGAAAATGGTCATCTTATACATGGAAATACACGGTAGTATGTTAAGTGACCTTAATTCCATTTGTCACACTATTTTTTGTGCCCATACTATAGCCTACGTATGGCTGCTGTGACTATAAATTAAGAGTGTAAATGATAGTGTGAGTGGTAGTGGAATCCAAACAATCAGAGAGAATTTACATGAAACTTTCCCACTCACTTTATGCTTTTGTTTTAACCCCCCCTAAAAATGTAAGGTAAAGGGACCGCTGACCATTAGGTCCAGTCGTGGCCGACTCTGGGGTTGCAGTGCTCATCTCGCATTACTGGCCGAGGGAGCCGGCGTACAGCTTCCGGGTCATGTGGCCAGCATGACTAAGCCGCTTCTGGCGAACCAGAGCAGTGCACGGAAATGCCGTTTACCTTCCCGCTGGAGCGGTACCTATTTATCTACTTGCACTTTGACGTGCTTTTGAACTGCTAGGTTGGCAGGTGCAGGGACCGAGCAACGGGAGCTCACCCCGTTACAGGGATTCGAACTGCCAACCTTCTGATCGGCAAGTCCTAGGCTCTGTGGTTTAACCCACAGCGCCACCCGCGCCCCTTCCTAAAAATGTACTCAGCCTTTAAAACAAATTTCTCTGGAAAGTGACTCAGAAGGGAATGCAGCCCTCGATCTAGAAAAGGTTCCCCACCTGTTTCAGATTGTAAACTTCTATAACTAATACCAATTGTTTTTATCCTTTCAAGAATGTTAATTTAGAATATTCCAGATCAATCATAGATTGTTGGGAAGTCCGACAATGGCCGAGTTCTTAAAGTGAGTGGTTTTTTTTATCACTTTTAACGAGGCTTAAGATCTCCTGCAAATTAAATTTGAATCCTATTATAACAGGTATATTTAGAAGGTATATTTATGCAGCTCTCGCATAATGCAAGGGATCCTTAAGGGTCAGGCAATGTAAGATTACATTATGAGACAGGAGATCCTAGATCTAAACCCTTCTCCAACCTATTCCTCAAGCAACGAAGACTCTTCTCAGTTGCATGTCACCCATAAATTTGTATAATTCTACATACAAGGCACAGTTTACCCCCAAAGCATACGTTTAATTTGTACTCAGTTTACAATTCACTTTAATCTCAAAATCCTTATTGCTGGTCTTAATGTCTAGCCAAAGAGTTACCACTTTATGACTCTGTGTCTTTTTCTATATATTTATATTTAATATGTTCAGTTTATGCTTTATTGTAGTCTGCTTGGCTTTTCAGTTTCTGTTATATATATATCTAGATATATATTATAAACTTACGTGATCCACCAAAGTATTTGCAATCCCTCCAAATTTGGCATTCTCTGCAGATCTGGTTGCGGTACTGTTCACTCCATTCAAGTCACTAATGAATGTAATGAATGATAATGGACTCAAGACCAACCTCAATGGAACACCACTTGGTACAACTTTCTGGTTTGAATTCCATTAGTTCTTACCCTTTGAATATGCTTTACAAGCCAATTATGGATGCATTCCATGGAGATACCATCTTAGATACCTCGAAATTTCTACAGAAGATCTCATAATGAAGGCTAGAGCCTTGTTAAAAATTGAATGTTGTGCATGCAGCCTCATTCCCTGAATTTAAAATTATCTGTTCCATGATCAGCACTAAGGGCTTCCATAAAACACAGCATAGTTTGTAGAGATGCCTGAAGGGCATGGATATAAACTCTTCATCACTTTGAATCAGCAGTAATTCGAAACAACAGCACCAATCAACTCTAGTAAATATTACAAAGATTCCCTGTGATCCTTGGATGAACAGCAGTATAGAACTTTAATAACTAATTAAATAAAAATACCATACAGGTTTTTAAATCCATTTTGAAATGTTTTAAAGGCAGCTCTGTTTTGATGAATTGTCCAATATATTTGTCTGATTTTTGCAGGTTTTAGCTGATGCTGTTGCACGCTTGGTGGTAGATAAATTCAGCGATTTGACAGATAATTTTACATCGCCCCATGCACGTAGAAAAGTGCTATCTGGAGTAGTCATGACAACAGGTAAAAACAAACCAAAAACATGCCTCCCCCACTGATTTGGCCTTTTGTCCTCTGTTGGGTTACAAAATAAAATGGTAAAGGTGAATGGATATTTACCTTTTATATATAGTTTCGATTGCTTTAAAATATTGAGATCTCTTCATTCATAAAATAGGATTATGAAATTTAATCCAAACTGCTTGTCTCTAAATGTAACAGGTTGTATCAAGAGGTGTTGCTCAGGTAGTGCTGAGGCTTCTAGATGGTGGGGGAACAGATTTAGAGGTGGGAGGAGGAAGCATTGAAAATGGCTTCTCTTCCCATTTCACTGACAGAAGCCGTGCTGTCAGAGGAGTGACTTTTTTAGGTTCTCTCGCTCGGCAAATATTAGGAGTGTGTCCTTGTACAAAAAACATAGCTTTCATTTTTTAATAAAAATTCATTTCCCTCTTGTGAGGCAAGCGCTGCAGCCTCTTCCTAATGTTGAGCTGGAGTCTCCTTTCTTGTAATTTGAATTCATTGGTTTGGATCCTACACTCTGAATCAGCAGAAAACAAACTTGCTCCATCTTCCATGAATCTGGCGGTATCATTTGTACCCACGTGGATCAGAAGGAAGGGGACATGGTCATTGGACTTGATGAGACTTGGCAGCTGCTCTGTCATGGTTCTCACGGGGACAATGCAGCAAGACACTACAGCCCTCTCCCGACTTGTAGTCAGAGGCACAGCAGGTAGTGCATGTGCTGTTTGGAAGCCATAAAAATGGATGGCCATCACAATATCATGTGGTAGTGAATTTGATACTTTAACTATGTTCCTTTGGTCTGTCCTGGATCTTCCACACTTCCTCTTGCCCTCCTGCTTTCCTCTGGGGAAAACCATGGTTTAGCACTCATTCGAAGCAAAGGGCAATTGGATTTTCTGCAGATTGCCATTAGTTCTGATTTAAAACTAATGAATGGCTTTTGCCTGGGAAAGGAGTGGGGGCAAGGGCTGGAAACACTCAGAAAGTGCAGATCAAGCAGAAAACTGCTCAGCGCTGCCCTTTCTCGGCACAGGACAAGCAGAAGTGTGGTTGAACCCTCAGCTGCGTTGAATGAGCTCATATCCTAGTGTTATGCAAGAGGGAGAAAAATCTCTCTCCCTTTTAGTAACCAATAACTGTAGGCCGGAGGCTGGAATTTCCAGTTGAAATATACAGGATACCAGGTGTATATGGCTGGGCATTGAGTGTTCAGAGAATGTCTCTGGAAATATTGGTTCTATCAAGAAACCCAATCTCACCGTGGTTTCTAGTGTTCTGCAGACAGTACCCAGCATACATTAGACAAGCACTCAAAATTTAGCTTTTAAAAAATTGATTCCTAGCATACTAGAGAAGGGAGGAATTATTATTTTTTGTTAGAATTGAATCTTCTGTCCCAGGAAAGTAAAACATTTGCTTTAATGGTTAGCTAAAATCTCTAGTGGATTGAAATAGAATCCGAAATTTTAAGCTCAAACTTCATGTTGCAGCAGCAGTTTAAATCTGTTTCATTTTTGTACAAAGCAGGTAAATGAGTGGGGAGGAGGGTTTGGTGTTTGGATGAAGAGGCACATAGAAAATGGAGCGATATTGCCGTTGTGGGTGGATAGAGTCTCCCAACCTAGTCCTCTTGGAGTTTGTTGGCGGGGGCGGGGGCGGGAGAGACACAGACAAACCAAGAAGAGGAACCTGCAAGACTAGATATCTGTTCCAGAAGAGCTTCATTAATGTGTTACGCCCAAATTCAGGATTCCCCCCAACTGATGCCAACATTCTGTGCTACAAACCCAGCATTTTGTGCCACCCCCAAACTGAGTAATTGACACTCAAACCACAAAATGTGGGGTTCTGTAGTTTTTAATACTTTGCTGAATTTTTATGTAGTTCCAGAATTTTAAAGGCAACCCAAGTTTCAGTGTGACTTCATTTCCACCCCAAGTATGCCTTCAGAATATATATGACTAGGATGTAGCTGAAGGTCATCTGGTGCAGTATGGTCTCCCAAGCCACACCTTCAAGAAGACATTCAAGAAGGCTACCATATTTCACCAAACGAGTCTTCTAAAAATATCTTTATATGCTTTCCCTTTTAAAACTTGTCTTCCCAGGTACTGATGTGAAAGATGCTCAGGTTATAAGTGTTTCTACAGGAACAAAATGCATTAATGGAGAATATATGAGTGATCGTGGTCTTGCATTGAACGATTGCCATGCAGAAATTATAGCACGTAGATGCTTGCTTAAATTTCTCTATACACAACTTGAACTGCTCTTATGGTAAGTTTAAAGAGAAATTCCCTCGCATCCCAGTTTTCAGCACAGAAGAAAGTTCCATTGATCGCATTGTTCTTAGGATTACAGTCTTGGGATGTGATTCTGTTAGGTTCTGTGATGATGATGCAACTTCAGATAAGTGATGCCGGGGTCCTAATATCAGCAGAAATGGATAGCTAGTTGCCTTATTCTGGAACATGGATAGGACACTAGCATTAGTATAAATATTTCTTTACATCTTTGGCATAAACTGTCCTGCATTGGTGCAATCCTGCCCTTTTATTTTTCAAAGAATTCATAATGTGTAAGATTTCATATTTAACATATGCTGAACTGGCAGTTGGAAGCATATGGTTTGTTTTATGTTGAAGTGTACATTAAAAGTCAGAATTGGTGACCAGAAGAATAGCTGGAAACCCCTCTGAGTGGTTTATAAATTATATGAAACAAACAAACAAATAAAATAAAGTGCATCTGGGTGAAATCTATATGTTTATATTGGTTTTTAAAATATCTGTTTCCTTTTGTGTGGCTCCCTCTGCTACATCCTGGAAACTGCTTTTTAATTTAGGGGCCTTAAAGTATGTAGAGGCAAAATGGGATGATCCACTATATTTGGAGGGAAGCAAAAATAACAGTCGTACTCAAACAAGAGAGGGAGGGCACCCCAGTTTAGATGTGTCAACAAACCTCCCTCCTGAATGCAATATGTTCCATGCAACATGGAAGGTAACATGTTTACATCCTTAATATCCTCAAAGCTCAAAATAATAAGTACCTTTTGTATCAGTTATGATCAAAATTTATTTCAGATAAACAGATTGCGGATAATATGTTCTTATCTCTAAATATACTTCATTACTGTAAACAAAAGAATATTTTGTCCACAGAATTGTCACTTGGCACAGAGAGGACTTTTGTCCTGGAGACTGTCATAAAATCATTATGAGTTATGCAGTTTGGCCCTGACTTCTTCCAGGCTATCTAGTTCTTTTATGCCCAACCAACTGCTCAGGCTAATGTCAATAGTATAAGATCCAAAAAGTTCCGGATTCGGGGAGGGCCCAGAAATGTTCTCTTTGGTCTTATTCAATAAGCCTTTTGGAGAGGCCATTAGGCAGGATGCAGTGATGACAAGAATTAAGATAGGTAATATTGAGCAGTATATGACAGTGAACAGTTTTATACCTGACTGATGCAATATCTATGCCAACATTGCAGCAATTGATTTACTACATAGTGAGGTTTCAGATCTTCCAAGTGAATCACAGGAAATTTGAGCTTTTGCTGATTAATCCCTCTGGACAAATTAGGGACTTCATTTAATTACGCTTCCACTATAAACGGATCAATAAGACATGGAAACAGATGTATATATTTGATATCTTATTCCATTGCCCTTGCAAAAGACAAAACAAAGCAAAACAACAACAACCATACAAAACTTATAACCTTGGCTTAAATGAAATTTTCATGTTTGGAGCAAATTGGACTTACCCTGATTGATACAAAACAGTGCTCTTAAACTGTATATCTTCCCACTTTTATGTAATACCTATATTTCTCTCTGCAACAATTTTTAATGAATGGAAAAGGGAGAACTTAGATAAATTAAAATGCTCCTTGAGGTTGTTAGACAAAGGAGCTTGGACCCTACACATTCTGCTATATGTGGAACTTGCTCAGCAAAATGTTCAGCTAAGTAAGAAAAAACAATCCTAGACTCAGTTAGAGTATTACACCGTAAGAGTTAAAATCAAGTTATGGTAAACTTTGGGTCTTGCTTGTTGTAATTAGAAAAACCAAAACACCTTTTTAATAACATTGTTGCACTTTGTTTCAGTAGTAAGGAAGATCAGCAAAAATCTATTTTTATCAAATCAGAACGAAGCGGGTTTAAATTGAGAGAAAATGTACAGTTTCATCTCTATATCAGCACCTCTCCTTGTGGCGATGCTCGGATTTTCTCGCCGCATGAAGCAGCACAAGAAGGTAGGACAAGTTTCACCTATTAATGGGGATGTTTGAGAGATAACAATTTATTGAAAACAGCTTTAGTAGTTTATGAAAATCTAGATTGGCTATTTACTGAAAATTAAATTGTTTAGTTTTCTTCATATTATAAAAGCAACACTATCTAGGAGGGCTAACACCTCAGTTCCACTTCATACATGGATCATTTCATCATGGCTTTATTGTTGCTTGTAAGCCATACTGGAAATTTCAGATTGAAAATGGGATATTCTGTTAAAATAAATAAAAGGTTGTACCGTGTAGAACAGTGTGAAATAAGCCTTGCAAAAAAGTATTGGATGTGATTTTCTATAAATGAAGCACTCTAGAAGTTTTTTTTTTAGTTCACACCACTTTTTTCCTAACTGCTGTCGTCCCAAATGAGTAATGGAAAACACGGCTGAATTTTCTTAGAAAGCATAGTTTTTCCTTGCCTGAACAGTGGTTGCTTCTGTCACTTAGATCAGGGAGACAGACATCCAAACCGGAAAGCAAGAGGACAGCTACGGACGAAAATCGAATCCGGGGAAGGAACGATCCCTGTCAGATCTACAACTACAATCCAGACATGGGATGGAGTCCTACAGGGAGAAAGATTGCTTACTATGTCGTGCAGTGATAAGATAGCCAGGTAAACTGTTTCTCCTCTCTCCAACTTCCATATTGCTAGATGGAGGGTCCCCAGGTCAGTGACGCCATGGGGGCCAGGATGCCATCAGACACCTTACTTGGCACCTCTTAAAGCAAAAAAGAAAAACATCCTAGGGAGGAGGAAACCCCCCAAAGTGACTGGAGACTCAATGGCACAGAAAGTCTGAAAGGGGAAAAAAACTGACTGCTAGGTGGGAGGGGAAATTAAATGGAGTGGTTGGAAAGAAAGAGGGAAAAGAGACAACACATAGAGACCATTTCCTGCTTCAGACTGAGAAGTTGTGTTAAAAGTGTCCCCAGGAAGAGAAGTAAGAATTGCCAAATGAAATTGATTGACAGATCCAAGTTTTCAATACAATTGGATTGGGGAGAAGTGTGACACCCCCCCCAAAGGCAAACAAACTCAAGATAGCAGCAAAGGGCTGAGTTCATGCTTTTTCTTACTTTACTATTTATCATTGTTCTTTGTTAAATGTAGATGTTACTTAACACATGACACTTCTAGGTCACTTAAAATTAAAGCACAGTATATAGTACTACGAGATGCAAATACTGAAAGTGCATTAATTAACAAAATTCCAATTTAAACAGAAGGTTAAATGAACAGAAAATCCCCATTGAGAATATTAAAAGCACTGACTGTGAAAGCAGCTACTTTTAAAACTGCAGCTAAAAACACTTTGAGGGAAAGTTTTCAGGTGTCTCCAAAGTCTAGTAAAGCAGGCAAACTGCTGTTCCCCTTGTTGCCATTCTCCAAATTCAGCAGGAGGGGGCACTGAGGAGAGTCTGCGAAGATGCCCTTAAAGTCCAGTCCACTCACCAGAAGAGGTGTTTTTTCAGGTATTGGGTCCCCAAGCCATGTTAAAAACAGCCTCCTGAATTGGGCCAGTCAGTGCAGCACATGAGGACGGGCTTAATGTGCTTTCATGACCTTTTCGCCATTAACAAGCTTTAGTGTGAATCACTTTTCTAAAACAAAAAAAATGTTGCTTTACACATGCACCCAACTGGGAAAGGACCATTTTAGCAAACAACTAGGTATATTCTTGCAAGGAGAATATTTTGCTTTATGGGAATGGAGGGGGGCACCTTGTTTCTGGAAGCAAGAACACAAATCACTTGGTTGTGTGGGTGACGAATGTTAGCAACCTGCCCCACCCCCCACAAGCATCAAAACGATGCAGAGGATTGTAGAGCAAAGCTTGCTGGATTTTCCTGATATTTAGCACAGTAAGGGTGGGAGCCTAACCCCACTTACATGGGAGTAAGCACCATTGATGTGCATGGGATTTGCATCTGAGTAGACATAGCTAGGATTGTGCCGCTTTATATTATTTAGAGAAAAATTGTCTTGTTTTACACCTGGCAATCCCTGAGACTGATAAACAAATCAGAGAACCTTGGCCAGTGAATTATGCACCATACCTCATCCTATAGCTCCCTTATTTATTTTGTCTTTCATGCACAGTAGGGAACAGAGGGACAGAAAGAACACAGAGGGCAGTGTGGGACAATGGAGGGGAGTGAAAAAGGACTAAGAGGACAAGGGGAAAAACTTAGTGCAGCACTGAGATTTCCTTTTGAGCCTCTGAGTACTTGTATTCATGTGTTTAAGTTATATATGCCTAGAAGAAACTTCTCTAAAGGTTTTTTCCAATATAAAGAAGATATTCTGTCTATGATGAAGTTAATATTGAGAGGCAGTGTAATCTAGTGCTTAACTCAAACTAAAAAGCAGCCTGGCAAAGGCTCCCAACCAGCTTAGCCCTCCCAGGCCCAGAGCAAGACTACCTGCCCTTTCCCCTTCAGAGGGGCCTGGGTGTTGTATTCAGAAAGTTTGCAGACTTGCTCCATTTTTGCCCAGGTTCAACCTCATCAGTGGGGGAAAGTGTGACAAGGCATGACAAAATGGTTAAATAGAAATTGGATGTGCAGTTGCTCACAAGAGCATAAAACTCAGATAAGCTTTACTGCTTGGGCAATGCTGAGTTTGCAGTTATCTTTCACTTATACATTTGGGATTAAGGTGTGACTGAAAACACTTGAGTTTAGTATTGATAGGCTAAAATGTTGGGAGAAGAGATATATCCTCTCCATGGAGGTCTCCCTGTGGGAATGTCACCTGAAGGCAGAGGGAGATGGGGCGGCGGGAGGAAGGATATGTTATTGGTTTGAGTTTGTTTGGAGAGTTAAGGAGTTTCAGTGAGAGAGAATAAAGAAAGAGAACTACCGTATTTTTCGCACGATTGGACGCACCGGACCATAGGACGCACCTAGTTTTTTTGGGGGGAAATAAAGGGAAAAAAATTCCCCTTTATTTCCCCCCCAAAAGCAGGTCAGGGAAACCGAACCAGGTCGAGGAACAGCGGGATAGTGGCGCTGCGCCTCCCTGCTGTCCCCCGAGCTTGTGGGGCTGGCCGATGTCTGTCCGGCGGGCAGGGCGCTCTGCTTCAGGACGCCCCACCCGCCAGGCAGCAGGCTGCTATCCGCAGCGTGGGGAGCCCTGTGGGGAACTCCTGCAAGGCTCCCCACTCTGCGGATGTCTGCCTGGCGCGAGGGGCGCTCTGCTTCAGGGCGCCCCACCCGCCAGGCAGCAGGCTGCTATCCGCAGCGTGGGGAGCCTTGTGGGGAACTCCTGCAAGGCTCCCCACTCTGCGGATGTATGCCTGGCGCGAGGGGCGCTCTGCTTCAGGGCGCCCCACCCGCCAGGCAGCAGGCTGCTATCCGCAGCGTGGGGAGCCTTGTGGGGAACTCCTGCAAGGCTCCCCACTCTGCGGATGTCTGCCTGGCGCGAGGGGCGTTCTGCTTCAGGGCGCCCCACCCGCCAGGCAGCAGGCTGCTATCCGCAGCGTGGGGAGCCCTGTGGGGAACTCCTGCAAGGCTCCCCACTCTGCGGATGTCTGCCTGGCGCGATGGGCGCGCTGCTTCAGGGCGCCCCACCCGCCAGGCAGCAGGCTGCTATCCGCAGCGTGGGGAGCCTTGTGGGGAACTCCTGCAAGGCTCCCCACTCTGCGGATGTCTGCCTGGCGCGAGGGGCGCTCTGCTTCAGGGCGCCCCACCCGCCAGGCAGCAGGCTGCTATCCGCAGCGTGGGGAGCCTTGTGGGGAACTCCTGCAAGGCTCCCCACTCTGCGGATGTCTGCCTGGCGTGAGGGGCGCTCTGCTTCAGGGCGCCCCACCCGCCAGGCAGCAGGCTGCTATCCGCAGCGTGGGGAGCCTTGTGGGGAACTCCTGCAAGGCTCCCCACTCTGCGGATGTATGCCTGGCGCGAGGGGCGCTCTGCTTCAGGGCGCCCCACCCGCCAGGCAGCAGGCTGCTATCCGCAGCGTGGGGAGCCCTGTGGGGAACTCCTGCAAGGCTCCCCACTCTGCGGATGTCTGCCTGGCGCGAGGGGCGCTCTGCTTCAGGGCGCCCCACCCGCCAGGCAGCAGGCTGTTATCCGCAGCGTGGGGAGCCTTGTGGGGAACTCCTGCAAGGCTCCCCACTCTGCGGATGTCTGCCTGGCGCGAGGGGCGCTCTGCTTCAGGGCGCCCCACCCGCCAGGCAGCAGGCTGCTATCCGCAGCGTGGGGAGCCTTGTGGGGAACTCCTGCAAGGCTCCCCACTCTGCGGATGTATGCCTGGCGCGAGGGGCGCTCTGCTTCAGGGCGCCCCACCCGCCAGGCAGCAGGCTGCTATCCGCAGCGTGGGGAGCCCTGTGGGGAACTCCTGCAAGGCTCCCCACTCTGCGGATGTCTGCCTGGCGCGAGGGGCGCTCTGCTTCAGGGCGCCCCACCCGCCAGGCAGCAGGCTGCTATCCGCAGCGTGGGGAGCCCTGTGGGGAACTCCTGCAAGGCTCCCCACTCTGCGGATGTCTGCCTGGCGCGAGGGGCGCTCTGCTTCAGGGCGCCCCACCCGCCAGGCAGCAGGCTTCTATCCGCAGCGTGGGGAGCCTTGTGGGGAACTCCTGCAAGGCTCCCCACTCTGCGGATGTATGCCTGGCGCGAGGGGCGCTCTGCTTCAGGGCGCCCCACCCGCCAGGCAGCAGGCTGCTATCTGCAGCGTGGGGAGCCCTGTGGAGAATTCCTGCAAGGCTCCCCACGCTGCGGATGTGTTCCCGAAGCGCCTGGAGCTCTGCTTTCAGGGCGCCCGACGCTCCGGGAAGCAGGCTGCTATCCGCAGCCTAGACACGGCTAGCGGAGCGCTAATCCCGAAGCTTGGGGCGTGCAGAGCTCAGCGTGCCCCAAGCTTCTGGGCGCTAGCGGAGACCTTGCTGGCACCCAGAAGCTTGGGGCGCGCTGAGCTCCGCACGCCCCAAGCTTCGGGATTAGCGCGGCGCTTCGCTAGCCCTGGGAGAGCCATACGACGTCGCGGGGCTCTCCCAGGGCTAGCGAGACCTTGCCGGCACCCAGAAGCTTGGGGCGCGCTGAGCTCCGCACGCCCCAAGCTTCGGGATTAGCCCGGCGCTTCGCTAGCTCTGGGAGAGCCCCGCGACGTCGCGGGGCTCTCCCAGGGCTAGCGGAGACCTTTCCGGCACCCAGAAGCTTGGGGCGCGCTGAGCTCCGCACGCCCCAAGCGTCGGGATTAATGCAGCGCTCCGCTAGCCGTGGGAGAGCTGGGTCTCCCACGGCTAGCGGCTAGCTTCCTGAAGCCTGGAGAGCGAGAGGGGTCGGTGCGCACCGACCCCTCTCACTCTCCAGGCTTCAGCGAAAGCCTGCATTCGCTCCATAGGACGCACACACATTTTCCATTGCTTTTTAGGAGGGAAAAAGTGCGTCCTATGGTGCGAAAAATACGGTACTCAGTGGGTGTATGCCATGTTATATGAAAGCAAATGTCTTTTCTCAAAATGCAGTGAACAAATGTTGGAGGGACAGTGTCTTGCATTGTTTATTTGTTTTTGTTTACTGTATTGAAACATTAAAATGTTTGAGTTAAATATAAATGTGAGGTGTCTAGCCATGACCGTAGAGCAGAGACTGAGCTGGAAGGTGACTAAAAGAGCAATGCAAATGTAATATTCATTCAGGAAGCTTAGCTGGTGTGTGTCAGAAAGGTGGAAAACACCCAGAACTGTATACAGTGGGAGTGGGGGACTGGTATAGGGCCCTGGGAACATTGAAATCTGGGATGTGGGGTGGCATGTGGTTTGCACATCACAATGTTCTGAAAGATTAACATGGGGGCTTTATTTTTGTCAAAGGATATATAAACAGGGAAGTGGTTGTGATGGGCTCAATTTATAGTCACTGGGCCAGTGCAATTCCTGCAAATGATTGTGCATCAATTGGAATGCAATACTGAGTGGGGATTTAAACTCTGATACTCAAATGAATAGAACAGCAGATATTCTAAACAGGAAAGCCAAGGGGACATTGGGCCCTTATAGCACTTGTGCTAGAATCACTTATTTCTTTCACCTGTGATGACCTTTCAGCATCTCCCAAATGGCTATTTTTCTTATCCATTGAGGTCTACTGGTTTTTAATTATTTTAAAGATCTGCTGCTAGTGTTTTAAAAAGTAGAAGCAAATCCTCCCTCTGCCTCTTCTGATAGAGGGAGGATGCTGCTGTTTTCTAAGCCTTGGCTTAGAACAGCCTGTAGGCACTACAGTATGTGAGTTGCAGAATGATGGCCCTTTAGCACTGTTTGTTGTCACTCAGCTACCTTCGCTAGGCTTCAAAAGAGATTCTCTTGCCCTTAGACACAGTGAAGCACAGCTAGGGTAGGAAGCTCACCCTGACACATCTGGTGCCACCACCATTTTTGCAGGGTATCTGCCCCACTCTCCTATAGTCACTCATATTTTTTTTTGTTTTGTCTGTAGGCCTAATTCAAAATGGTGTCATTTGTTTCCCTTTAGATGGAACGTGCTTGGTATTCAAGGAGCATTACTTACCCTCTTTGTTGAGCCAATTTACTTCTCTAGCATTATCTTGGGGAGCTTATACCATGGAGACCATCTATCCAGAGCAGTATACCAGCGAATAGCAGAGATAGAAGATTTACCCCCTCTCTATATACTCAACAGACCTTTACTCAGTGGTATGTATGTAATAAAAAATAAACAACAGCTCTTCCACTTCTGGTATATTTTCAAAATACTGCAAATTGCATTCACCTGAACCCACAATGTGTAAAAACAGGGTCAGGGGCACATACATAAGGTCCACCCCAATGTCTCCAACGTGCAGGTTGGTCTTTAGGTCTTTGCACTAGTGCAAAGGTCTGGAGAGGGTTTGAAAATGCTTTCATTTGAGCACACTTAGAAACTCCCAGATAAGACTGGGTTTCCATCCATGGGAGAGTTTCGCAGTCCATTCAACTGAATCTGCTTCAAAAACCCCTTCAGACCTTTGGACCAATTGGGCAAAGGTCTGAAGATGAGGTCATTCCTAGGTCAGATAAGACAGGGTCCCACTTGTGGGAGGGTTTCTAAGCGTGTTCATTTGGACATGCGTAAAATTCCTCTACAGACCTTTGCACTAATCATGAAAAGGTATGAAGATGGGCACCTTGATGGCTGAGTTTGTCTGCACACCCCTGTTTTTACTCATTGCCTTTTGTTAACGAGAGATCTACCTCAAATATAAATAGGGTGTTCAGGAAAGACTTGGAATCCGTGTAATGAGCCATCGACTTGGAGCACCCAGTGCTGTCCTTGCTTATGGCTATGTACTTCTGTGCCTTATTAGGGAAACATGTAGCAATATTATTAAGGGTTTGGATTTCTCCACCTGCTTTTCAACAGTGCCATATTGGATGCTTTACTGGATAGGGCAGGAGTTGGCCCAGGCAGTGGCAAGGTTGGCAGGAGGGCCAGGCTGATTCTGCCCATGTGCCCCACAGTCCCAGCCTTGCCACCCCTCCCTTCTTGGTGTGTTGCTGCCCCACTGCACCTGCCGCTCCTGCACGAGTCCTTTAAAAAGCGGCAATTCAGCTACTGAGAAGGCAATTCAAAGAGGGACACTGCCATAGGACAGGAGCTTCTTAACCCTTGTGCTGCCTTCTTGATGAATATCATTCCTGCTTTTAGCACTGCAGAGGAAAAGATGTGGCTACAGGCAACCCCCCATTTACGTGGAGGTTACATTCCAAGGCACATTTAAATGAAATTCCAATCACGTTTCAAATATATGCAAACACCCCATTCCACTCTGCCCCTTTCTGTGAGGTTTTTGGGTCACTTTTGGGTTTGACACAATGCGCGCGTGCATGGTTGAGCACATGTTGAACTGCGTAAATGGCGGGTTTCCTGTACTTCTTTCTTTTTCCCCTTGGTGGTAAAAGCCATCGTGTTATGAAAAAGCTTCAGTATTATTTTTATGAAGATGGTAAAAGCAATGTGAGTGGGGTAAAACTGGGCCTCTCACCTTTAAATTAAGTTTTAAAGTGTGTTTTAATTGTGCTTTAGTTTTTAAATTAATTTTCTATCATTTTTAATGTTTTATACTGTATTTTAATGTTTTGTTTTTTGATTGCTTTGTGATCTTCTCAGATACTGCCTGTTAGAGGGCTGTTATGTAAGAATAGTAAAAAAATACAAGCCAGCTGCACTGTAGGAAAGAAAATGTCTCGAAAAAAAAATATCATGGAACTACATGGATTCCTGCATTGCAGGGGGTTGGACTTCCCTTCCAACTCTACAATTCTATGATTCTGTACACATAAGATGCAGTTCAGCTATACATTTTCTTTTTGCTGTTATCAGAAAAATTATTCCAATTATTTGTTGTTAATAACCCCAAATCCTATGATTTGGCAGCAAACTGGGGGCGATCTACTGTGCAATATCGAATACTGAAACAGGAAGGTCTAATAAAGAATACACATTACTTTAGTAAATCAGAAACAAGAAACAGCCTTGTGACACCTTAAGGACTAACAAATGTCGCATGGCATAAGCTTTCATGGACTGCAGTCCCCTTCATCAAATGCATGAGTGTTATCCTGAGTTACAGGTAACTTCGTTTGGGGAAGTGAGGTTTGTAAGCAATGAGCTCAGAGGGAAATGAAATATAGGCAGTGATAATTATGTAATTAAAAAAAACAGTTGCTGGACGACACAGACATCCTGGGATTGATAAGCCAATTGACACACAGAATGTGCTAAAAATCTTTGGCCTCGGTACATTTCCCAGGTGATTGCCTCGAGCTTCTTGCTGTGAAATGTGAAACCACTGAATTATAATATATCAAGGGGTGTCACGCCCTTTTTCTTGGCCCTACCAAGACTGTGTCTCTGGTGCTGGCATGGCTGCAAATGTTTTTGTGGGGGGAGCTGATGTATCCGTTGCCCTCCCAAGAGCCACAGGATGCAGCCTTATCAATAGTAAAAACACATATTAATAATCTCCAAATCTGATTAGTGCATCAAAAAGACTTCAGTTTTAAATTACTTATTCATTAATTTAATGTACTTCAATGTACCTAAAATAGTGTCCTTACTGTAGTATCTAAAAAGGTAAAAGTAGCAAAAGGTCATAGAATAGGAAATTTTGTTGGACTTTAAATCCATAAACATACTGGGTGAGAAACAGAATGAAATTTATCAAAGTAGAACTATTCCAACATCTTTTCCTGCTTTCAATCACCTTTTTCTACCGTTTTCCCACTTGTCTTTCGGTATGTTCATTTCATGGATTTAAATGCAACCACAGCAGGTGCTATAACTCTCCGGGCGTTTGACTTTATCCATGAAGGCACATTCTTTCATTGTCTCCCGAGACAGATGCCATCAACATTTGAATAGAGTCCAACACAATTTCCCATTCTATTACTTTTGCTACATTCTCCGCCCCCCCCCCCGCCCCAGTATTGAGCTGCTAATATTTTTGCTATTGATAAATACAAATTCATTTTTTCTGTTTCTGATTCTGTTTATAAATCCCAATAGAATTCTGGTAGGATCCAACAGGACTTCTGTCCCTGTTATTTCCTTAAAAGTTGCCACCATCTGCACCTATGAATAACTGGATATTTGCACTGAATTTGCATCATATCTGTCTTGTGATATTTATATCTCCAGCTTTTCATTTTGCCTTCTAACTAAGTATGTTTCATCCTCCATGAAGTCATGTACCATCTGGCTATTATTTCATTTGAATTTTCCAATTAATTTATGTTTAATGTCTTCCACACACTCTTCTCCCATATATATTCCCACAATCTCACTGTTTCCTTATTTAGATCAGTAGACTGTATATCACAGTGCATGTTCTTCCATTCATTTACGTTTATCAGTAAATTCTACATGTTAGAGGTCACTTTCCTTGCATTAACATTTATTCCCTTATTCTTTTATCTTGTGCCCAATTTATGGATTGAAAATATTGATATATTGGAAATTTTATGGTATTCCTTTTTTCAATCAACTCATGATTACGAACAAGTACTACTTCTTTGACCTGCTTACCTTAAACTTACCATCCAGGAGGGATGTGTGCCAATTGTTGCTCTTAGATTCTCAAGTACAGTCAATTATCATTAAAATCAATCTAACATCACATTTGCATAACTATTATATCTCTCCACCCCACCTTTTTTTTTACTGTAACTGAACTTCCATTTGGGTTCTCTTTTCATGTGTTGATTTTGAAAATGTTAAAGCAACTTCAGCAATATGCACATATTCACTAATGATATTCTTACAAACTAAGAGATATTTAAATTATTCTATATCACAAACTCCTTCTTAACCGTCTTTATAACTAGACCAAAATTAACTGAGAGGATATAGATCCTCTAAACTGGATGTTAGCCACATGCCATAAAATCAAACAGGTGTTAATGCCACTTTACTTTCAAACAAATTCTGTATAGTATCTTGGTCCTCTTCTAAGCAAAACCAAATAAATTCTGTTTTGGATCTATTGATCGTATATCATGATACCTTCCTGTTTCCTGAATCACCCTCTTAAGTACTTTCAGTTTTTGACATATCTAACTTTCCCTTTGCTTGCTGGTTTATTTCTTATAGCTAAGCCAAAATTCCCAACAAAAACAACAAAAAATGTAGATGAAAAGTAGACATTCCTCACTGGTCCCTCTTTCTAACTAGACTTACTTCTGCATTGTTCCATTTATTAATAGTTTTGTACTTGCTTTACGATAACATGCTGTTATTCAACATTGACTTTTTTCTTCTACTTCAAATTTACTTAAAACACCATTAAAAAAATTCTCTTTCCACCCTGTCGTAACTTTTCTGCATCAAACACTGTCAAAGTAGCTGGTTGTTGATTCTTACGACTTTCATAAAGTAAACTTACTGCTTTCCTTTTATTGGCTTTTATATACCTTCCCTTCTGGCAACTCCTGCAGCCAAGCTTCTGTCCAAAGTATCGCTTTCCTTTGGGTCCCAGCCTGTTCTTCAGCTAAGATGTCATTTTCCTCAGCCCAGGTTTGAAGCTTATTCAACAAAAACCTTCCATAGACTTTTGACCCAGTATCCAAGAGACTAACTGGGCTATGATTTTTAGGATCACTTTTTTTCTTTTTTCTTTTTACAGAGGAACAATAATATTAGACCACCATCCACCAGGAATGTTCCCTGTCCACTTGATATGAGAGAACAACTTAGCCAAAATGGGTGCCAACCAAGAGGAGTTAAATTTAAATATTTCCTGGGGAAGCATATATTCCCCATGAGCTTTATCTGTTGTTAGGTTGAAGCAACCAATCTCCTGAGATGTCACAGGCAAGGGAGGGCCATATAAAACGAGCCCTGGTGTTGTTGTTGTTTAGTCGTTTAGTCGTGTCCGACTCTTTGTGACCCCATGGACCAGAGCACGCCAGGCACTTCTGTCTTCTACTGCCTCCCGCAGTTTAGTCAAACTCAGAGCCCTGGTGGTTGCCCTCAAAATACAACTGTCCTATGATAGCAGGGATTTGGGCTTCCAGGTGAAGCTTGGAAATACAGAGAACTGAATGGCCCAAGTTCCAGAATCTTGCACCATCCTTTTGACTTTCAGCCACACCCAACTTCATTCACCTTTATCTTGAATCTGCACCTTTCCCTTATTTTCAGATTCTTGTGAAATTATTTCTCCTTTCTTATATTGTGCATTACAACCATCAGTACAGGAGCTGCTTCATCTAAAACTCTGTAACCCCAGGCTTATTCTTTGTATGATTGTCTATTACTTCTGCTTCTTACATTCACACCCCTTTCTTCCATTCAGGGCAACTAATCCCCACCCCACCCCATTTTTATTAGTGGATTTTTTTAATGCAGATATAGTAAAAGAACAAGAAAAAGGGAAAAGACCAAAAAACCACCAGCAGCACCCACTAACAATAAGAATAATCCATCAAAAATTATACTTCATCAAACCTAGTTTTAACACATACATTAATAAATGAAATCCATGTGTCCAAATAGGTTTCCAAGTGATATTGTTGATTATAAGATATAAGATCTTCAGATCACTGAGTAATAGATGATCGGAATTAAGAACCACTTCTGTTGTCTATCTGTTAGACTGCACTTCACAGGAATATACATTCATAAATATCGAGGATTTTTCCAAGACAAAGTTAATACAAACATTTCCTTCTTTTCTGAAAGAAACAATTCATATGGCTTTTTATATAGAACAACAAATATAACATCCCCTCACCCCCATAACAGGTATCAGGTTGTACATTAACATTACTCTGGTGAATCCATACAAACTGAGCAAATGCCCAGCATATAATGGCCTGGGGATAACAGAAAGGTGGTTTTATCCATCACAGACAGGCATTCCCAGTGGAGGATATAGTTCAAGCCGTGCTGTTCCAGATGACCATACTTGCGAAAGTGCTTTGGATAATTTTATATTTAAGAGCAGTTTGGTGAAATCGCTCCTCCCTTCCACCCATAGGGTGGTATGCTAGGTCTCACTGTTGCTTCTCTTACTATTGCAGATACTTGAGCAACTCACGTCTTTTAGCAGTCTGACAGTTGAGTCACAATTTCTATAACAGTAATCAACTAAAATGGATGGAGAGAACTACCCAGCTGCCATTGGTTGTATTTCCTTCTTGTCATCAGACACTTTTGTATGTTGCTTTGGCTTCAGTTAGCATGGCAGCCCATTAGCCTGCATGACACATCACATAAAAAGAGCCAACCCTCGAAAATCACTCGTCGCTTTGGGAAGAGGAAGGGGAATATATGGATTGGGAGTAGAAAGTCTCTTCTAGGCAAATATGTTTCTGAGTGGGAACCACAGGGTGGACTGAGCCAGGTCGCATGGAAGAGGACAAGGGCTTTGGGCCACTTTAAAGAGTGAGGGGGTATAGGGATTGAAAATGTTTTGCAACTGTATTATAACTTCTGAATAAAGGTTTTTTTTTGAATTAAATTATCCAAAAAAGAAAAGAAAAGAAAGAGAGGTTAGGAACATTTTCGAGGGTTGAGGATAGCTTTCCTGCTGCTCTGGTGGCTGCTTTCAGAACTGATTGACATACCTGTTAAAGATACTTCAAACATATTCTGAAACAGATCTTGGTGCCCCATCATCATATTTCCTGCTTTCTCTGGCTAGCTTCTGGGGTGCAGTTGTCCTTTGTGCTTCAGAGGGCTCACTGAGAAGGATTTCAGTGGTGGAGCAACTGATGGGATAGGTGGGAATCTAAAGAACTTAGATCGCGTTTTGCATTCAAGGACATTTTGACAGTATATACTGAACCCCTTATATAATACATTTTAAAAAGTTGGAACAGTTACCTTGAAAGTTGAAGTAAAACAGGGTCCGTCCATCCCGAAATGTCCCCCCCCCGCCCAATCCACTGCTTTGATTTGCAGAGCTTGGCTACTAGCATGTGACTCTCAGTTTTTGAAAGGGAAATAGCATGCTTTCATTTTTTTCAGAAAGAAATATGGGGTCTTGGGACAAAGAACATCACAACTTTCACCATTAATTTTAAAAAGTTACTTTTCCAGTTAAGATACCGGTTAAGCAGATACTTCAGTATGAAGAGAAAATACTGTATCAAAATCAGCCCCCGCCCCGGCTCAGTGTCTCGTGCTGTGGGTGGGCTGGCCTGACACACCCAAACTTTGCAAAAGGCTTCTTGATTTCTGTGAGATAACGAGGATGAAATCCTGCATCCACTTATTTGAGAGGAAGTGCCTTTGAACTCAGTTTGGCTTCATGGTTGACATGTATGGGGTTGTACTTCCAATGACTTGACTAACCCAGGATAAAGTTCTGCTTTAAGGGGTTTGCAAAAACTTCTTGTCAGTGAATACAGACAGAAGGTAGTTATCTAATGAAGAATGTGAACATATATATATATATATATATATATGCTTTCGTAGATTTTCACGGGTATAGGAATATATATATATATGCAGGTTTTGGTGTCCTCGGGTGTCTTCCCGTGTAAAAGTTGGGGTGTCTAGGCGACGTTTCGACGAGGTCTCACTCGTCATCTTCAGGCTGGTGCTTTCGGCTTCTTGTTACTGGAACAGAGCAGGATCTCAGTGTTTGAGTTCCTATAAATACTGTTGAGGGGGTGTGGTGTATAGCCTCCAATGTTCTGGGCAGAGAGGAAGTTCCCAGGTTAGTGTGCCTTTTCTTCTTTTGTTCCTTAATTACTTGAGGGATATCTTGAGTGATTTCTTGAGTGATATCCTGACCCACCTAAGTGGTACTCAGGATATCACTCAAGAAATCACTCAAGATATCCCTCAAGTAATTAAGGAACAAAAGAAGAAAAGGCACACTAACCTGGGAACTTCCTCTCTGCCCAGAACATTGGAGGCTATACACCACACCCCCTCAACAGTATTTATAGGAACTCAAACACTGAGATCCTGCTCTGTTCCAGTAACAAGAAGCCGAAAGCACCAGCCTGAAGATGACGAGTGAGACCTCGTCGAAACGTCGCCTAGACACCCCAACTTTTACACGGGAAGACACCCGAGGACACCAAAACCTGCATATATATATATATATATATATAGAGAGAGAGAGAGAGAGAGAGAGAGAGAGAGAGAGAGAGAGAACTAGGAGACCAGAAAATGCCAAAGGTTGTATGACATAAATTTTATAAATTTCAGACAACATTATTGTACCATTTGATTCTCTCAGCCTCTATAAATGCATTAAGGGCTTTTTTTGCATTGTTATTTTTTTTAAACCAGGAAATCATTCAGCTTCTTGACTATAATGATGTAGTCCAGAGATTCTTAGATCAATTTATAGCTACATTGCTTGTTGGTATATTTCTGTTGTCATAACATAGCACTACTGATAAAAGTGGTTCCGCACATTTCTCCCCTTGTGGTGTGGCTGTTTCTTATGCTTTAGTGCCTTTAAGCTCCTTTGGTCCCCCCCCCCACGTTTCTCTTCTTGGAGCTCTGTGGGGTGAAGAGCAAGGCTGCCATTTCTTTTCCATAGAGATCTCTTTCCAGTTGCCCTTGAGGACTGAAGTGCTGCTTTTTGCTCTTCCCTAAATGTGGGGGAAATGAAGTATGGCAGTTCACTAATAAGATAAGATCAGTTAATCCATACTTTCTTCCCTTCTCTTCCTGGAGTTGTGATACCTGACTGGATATCCACATCTCAGAAAGAGGGGAAATAAAAGCATCTGAATGATGCTGAGCTTGACATAGTTTTGCTTGTGCTTCGCTCTAGTGGAGTGGCCAGCTGCTGCCACTTCATCAGAAAGGGGTTTTTAAAGGGTTGTTTTGCAAACGTAGGTACAATATGGGCAGTTTTATTTTAGAGACTGTTAGTTACCACTAAGTAATGCCATTTTTCTTTTATCCAGCTATTTAACTGCACTCAGATTTGCAGATTTGAATTGTAAAAAGATTAACCAAAATGTGATGCAAATGCTCCTCCTAATAAGGTTTATATGTTATGTTATTCTAACATACATTTCTCCATTTATAACACACCTGCCTTAATGACGTTGGAATATTTTGGCCACACATTCTCCAGTAATGGAAGCAGAATGTTCATGGCTTTATGTCCGACCTCAAAAGAGGAGTGTTCCAGTTTTTCAGCCATTGTTTTAAAGGAGTGTGACATAGCATGATTGACATGTTACATTGCACTCATTTTCTTTGGAAAGAGAAGCTATACAAGGTATGTGAATATTTCTTCCTGTTGAGAGCCCTTCTTCTTTCTTGCAGGTATCAGTAATGCTGAAGCCCGCCAACCAGGAAAAGCACCTAATTTCAGTGTAAACTGGACCATAGGAGATGCTGGTCTTGAAGTGATTAATGCTACAACAGGCAAGGACGAAATGGGTCGTGCATCCCGACTTTGTAAGCATGCTCTGTACAGTCGCTGGATGCGAACTTATGCAAAGGTATATTTTGGCAAATGGGTAATTCGGCATCACATCTGTATCAACAGGGCATAAGCATTTGGGCTTTGAGTCTATCATTTACTGGGCAAGCTGTATCAGAGCTGAATGTATCAGAAGTTTGATGCACCCATAAATTTATTTGTATGCCACCTTTCCATAGTTCAAACAATGCTCAAGGTGGCTTAGAACATGGAAAAATGCATACCTACAATGAAAATCGTAGTCATAAACAATAAATAACATATTTTAAAATACACAACCAAACTGAACAACTTCCACATAAATCACAATAAGATTACAAGATCTCAAACCACCCCCCCAACATCATCCCAGCCCAAGAGTCTGTTTAGCAGCCTCAGCTTTTGTAGCTGGTCATTCAGGGCCCTACCGTCCCAGACCAGGCAAGGAGAAGGTCTTCCAGAACTCCCTTCTTGGCTATAAGGGATATTTGCTGCTGTTCCTCCAGGAATGGTGCCCGAATACATTGGCTTTCTGTAACCATAGAATGGTTGAGTTGGAAGGTACCCAGAGGGCCCTTGCATCACAGCTAAAGAATGTCAGACAGGGTGCCATCCAGCCTCTGTTTAAAAACCTCCAAGGAAGGAGAGTTGACCACCTGAGATAGTCTGTTCCATTGTCAAACAGTTCTTGCATCAGAAAGTTCTTACTAATGTTAGTTTGAATCTCCTTTCTTGTAATTTGAGTCCATTGGTTTGGGTTCTACCCTCTGGAGTAGCAGAAAGCAAGCGTGCTTCATCTTCCATGTGACAGCCCTTCTCCAGGCTAAATGTACCCAATTCTCCCAACTGTTCCTCATCAGGCTTGCTCTCCCAACTCTTTAGCCTATTGGTTGCCCTCCTCTGCACACCTTCCAGTTTGTCAACATCCTTCTTAAATTGTGGTTAACAGAACTGGACTCCAGGTGTGGTCTGACCAAGGCAGAATAGAGTGGGACTATTATTTCCCTTGATCCGGACACTATACCTCTGTTGATGCAGCCTAGAATAGCATTAGCCTTTTTGCTGTTGCATCATGCTGTTGACTTATGTTCAGCTTGTGGTCCACAAAGACTGCTGCCATGTCAGATGTCCCCTGTCGTTTATTTGTGCATCTGGTTTTTCCTGCCTAAGTGCAGCACCTTAAATTTTCTTCTGCTCTGGAGGGTAAGACTTGAAGCAATGACTTCAAGTTACAAGAAAGGAGATTCTGACTAAACACCAGGAAGAACTTTCTGACAGTAAGAGTAGTTCGACAGTGGAACAGTCTCCCTTGGGAGCTTGTGGACTCTCCTTCCTTGGAGGTTTTTGTCCCTATTGAAATTCATTTTGTTAGTTTTGGCCCAATTCTCCAACCTGTGAAGGTAATCTGAAGGTGTGCAGGGAGTTCACCCCTTCTATTAGGTCTACTCTTTTGTTGCCAAGGTGACAATAAGTGACGTAGAATTGTAGAGCAGGAAGGGATCCAAAGGGATGCAGGAATCTCCGCTAAAGCATCCTTGACATGAATAAACAATAGGTGATGATCAACTGAAGAAAGTTAAAAGTTTGGTTTCCCCATTATTTGTATTTGATGGGGAGATGTTTCAGTCAAAAACACTAACTTGAATATTGGTCCTAACTTGGAATATTCTAAAGATTTTAAAAGTTTTTTACACTGCTTGAAAACAGATTCTATAGAATTTTAGTAAGCCTAAGAAGGAAATAAAAAAGTACTCCTCAACTACATAAAAATATGCCTGCTCTTTAGGCAAACAGTAAAAAATTTAACCAAGTACCATATTAAAAAGTTCAGGTAACTCGTTTCTTATACGGGGGTTTCGTTCTTGGGATGGCACGTAGACGCAAAAACACAAATACTCAAGCCCCTCACTTGGAACTGCCCCCCATGCAAACAGTCTTACATTCTGGAGCTGGTGCATCAAATGGGTCTTAGCCCCCAAGGTTTTAAGCTCTCTGCCTTGCTTACTGGGCACACGGGTCCATCCAAGATCTCACGAGTAAGCGCTCAGTAAGGAAATCTAGAGCTTGAAAGCTCCCTTCACACTGGTAAAACTCTATGCAAAAAAGCTCTGCCTTGCCTATTTTGCTCTCACTGCTCATGTACCATATGGGCTCAGTGAGGCTCTCGTGAGATTTTGCAGGGCCAGCCAAGTTCCCGTGAGATCTTGCAAGAGCCTCTCAAGGCTTGAAAGCTCTCTCCACACTGGGAAACCCTTGAGCAAAAAGAGCTTTTAAGCTCTCCACTTTCCATGCATTTAATTTGTATGATTTCAACTGTCTGACCTTCTGTCACATAAAGTTGAAATTGCACATGTGAAACTTGTAAGTTGTGAGTTACTTGTACTTTAAAAACATGGAATGTTAGGAACTGCCTTGTTGAGTGATGTGGCATGTTTCTTGCTATTCTTCATGGCCAGTTTTTATTTTATTTTCATGTTGAGATAAAACTATAGCACCTGTTTGTTCAGAGCACTGCTCTAGCCAGCAAGGCATGCCATGTCCCACGTGCGACTTGAAGGGCGCTCTGAGTGGAGAGGGCCAGCCTGGAGGCTCTGATGGCGCCTGATATTTGTGCATAAGGATCTCCACTAAGGATAATTCCATTGTGGCTGGAAAAGACTTGGCCCTTCTAAAGAGACCCTACCTACTAGGAGTGCAAAAGAGCCAGCCAGACTTTGTCAGCTGCACAGTGTAGCAAGCCTATGGCATAGTTATTCTGTGTCCCTTGCATGGAATGAGTTTAGGGCAGGGATCATCTTTCCATACCTGCCCTGGTGTTCCTGAAAAACCTCCTTGAATTGTTCTACTCTCCATGGCCCTCTCTCAGAGAAAATCACTCCATCAAAGTAAATTAGAGCTGCCTGGAGTAGAATAGGTGGGATTAAAATCCAATTAATTTTTCTTGGTTAGTAGGCATTACAGTTTAAAAAAAAACACAAAATGGGGGGGGGGAGAGATGGAAAGTTTGGGTCGTAGCTTTGGATTTTGATTCTGATTCATAAATAAAGAGAAAACAAAACAAAACACATCCTAGGTATTATTTTGCCAACTGTTTTATAGTTGCGCAATTTAAAAAATCATATATTGAAATGATAAAATATTTGCTATATGTAACAGGATTCTCTTTCTTTCTAATCTCTCCAGCTTTCTTCCAGTCTTCGTTCAAATGTCAGTAAACCAAACATGTACCACGAAACGAAGCAAGCAGCTGCCGAATATCAAACTGCCAAAGAGTGTTTGTTCAAAGCATTTTCAAAGGCAGGACTTGGCGCCTGGGTGGAGAAGCCCATAGAACAAGATCAGTTTTCCCTTGTAGTCTGATCCATGGATGCCCTCTGCTTGGAAAAGGGGATAGGATGGAAACCCTGACGTCAACATTTCATCTACACAGCTGAAACAGCAGCTTTTAGATTTTTATTGTGGTTTTTTGTTGGGGAGAGGCTGACTTGAGACCATTTTTTTCTTTTGCTAAAGTATTAAAACCTTTGGAAAACTGATAAATACAATAACTAGTCTAGAATAATACAAAATTATTCCATTACCTTCTAAGGAACTATTGTTTGCAGGGGGTGGGGGAACCCACAATGCAATTCAAAGTGATACATCTGGATAATTTAAATTTTATTTTACTGCATTGTTACCAGGTGCATGATTAATGTAAACCACCTAGGATTTTTACACAAAACTTTGACTAAGTGGTTTGTTTTTGTGTTCTTTTAGAGCCCAAGAGACAGATTATTTATGTGCTTCTTATAGATTTTTATTTTTTAAATAATTGAGCTCACAGAACCAGACTGGAGTTTGGCTAGCTATTTTTCCCTGCTTCCTTGCTCTTTAAAAACCAGCTGTTGAAAACTTTGTCTCTCTGATTTATGTATTTATTATTGTGTGATCCAGTTTTTAACATACCACTTTTTATTCCATTTTTAAAGTACTTGTCTTCACTTCCCATTTACACATATTGTGAAGTTATTGTTTTTTTACCATTGTAAACTGGAAACTAAATATTTGTAAGCTAACAAATTCTTTTTACTTTGATGTATGAAAACCAGCTTAGAAATAGGCGGATTGTGTTTCACAGGAACTCAGTGGAGTACAACAGTAATATTACCAGTCATGTGGCAATTTCAAAACACTCATTTGTGAGGAAATACGCTGCCTTGCCAAAAACCAATTCACACACGAACTCTACTAAGGGCAAAATAATTTTTAAATTGCGCACTTCAGAGACCTAACTTATTTTCGGCGGAACTGTTGTGTTCTTTTACACACACTAATATAAGGGTACCAACCCAAATTATTCTGAAATGATCTGTTTGATCTAGTATAATAGGAATAAATATTGAAAACGTTGTTCATATATATTGATGACATCTCCCATTAATGAGCATGTTGCGTGGATCTGATCTCTCAAGGACAGCAGTCCTTGACTGAGAGAGTTAGGTTCTATGCTGAGCCAAAGCGCAGGACTCTGGCGGGCAGCTGCTTCCGCTGCCTGTGCTTCAGAGCCAGTTGGCGCCAGGAAGGGTTGTCCCAGAGGCAGGGTGCTGCAAATGTCCAGGTGCTGTAGCCAGCAAATCTGACTCTCCTGCCCAACTCCAAGGTATCAAAAGGTATTTTCTTTCTGATAATTTGTGATAGGATGCAGCAAGCAAAGTTGCACTTAATGAAATAGGTGGTGGGACTAATACCTCGGCATTAATTGTAAACATGCAATATTGCTAACATATTATTCCAATAAAAATAAGAAGGAATTCATAACAATCATGGTAGAAATTTGGGCTTGATCTCAGTAGTTACATTCCAAGAAAGCATGTATTATTGCAGGTTTAGCAAATTCAACATTTCCGTATGCTTAAAGCGAAGTAATGGTTACATGTTTTGCTAAACCAGTGCCAGAAATCAAAGTTGTAATACTATATGTATATCGCATATATCTTGGCCTCTACATGATGTGATGTTCATATTGAAGGTATCACATCAGCTCAAAGTATTTTTTAAATATTTGTGCGACTGTATGTAGTAGGTAGACACGGTAGCTAGCTCCTCACCTCTGGGTATTGTCTGGGTACTGCTATCTACATAGTATTGTGGTGATAGTTACAAAAACTTTACGAAGTTACTTTGCATGTCCAGAAAGCCCTATGCTGTAATTGGTATTCCTCTTCCTTTAAAAAGAAATAGATATATAATATGTTCACTTAAAAAATATTATGAGAAAAAGGCATGATAGCAATAAGTTAATATAGAATTTAATAGAATAAATCAGAATTTTATTATGTGAAGGAAAATAATTTATATGGCATTTTAAATTGTTACTAGGCATTTTCTTGCAGTACTGTGGCCTGAATTATATAGAACATAATCAACACATCCACGTGCTTAAAATGGTCACATGAATAGTCCCAACGAAGCATATTCCAGTTCAGAGGATCAAGGCCAATTTGTAGACAACTGTGAAGAAAAGAGTATGAATAGGCTTGCCAAGTGTTGAATTAAAAAAAGTCTGGTACCTGGTCAGGACCTGGGGACCGAGCTCTCCGTTACATGACGTAGAATCCAGAGTGGGTCTGCTGATGACAGTTTTTTGGGGTGGACCCAAGTCAAGAGGTCTGGGGGCAGAGCTGAGATTAAATTAAAAACCAAACCAGCACAGGTAAGGAGGAAAATAGCATCTTTCTCCTTGTCTTTTCTGACACCTGGCTCAAAAGCAAAAATAAATAAAATTGTCCACACTGTTGTTTTTACCATAGCGGTTTTAATGAAATTAAAGTGTGAAGATTGCACAATGTATAGCAAATTTGCTGCATTTTATAGCTTGAAAGCAAATGTGTTACGTGTTTTTTCCAATAGCAAAGTGGCTTGCTTGGAACATAATACCAATATCACAGGGTGAGCACAAGTGAGCCTGAGCCTCATGCACTCTGCCCTCCTCTCTCCAGCACAACGACAAGGGGATTGCAAGCCTTCACACTTACCTAAACTAACCAGAGTCTATTGTTACGTCCATCCTATGAAAATTCTAGTTGGTTTAAACCATGGTTTATTGAAACAAGCCCGGATCAGTCGGCGGCTTTTGGTTCTGGCTTGTTAAAGAGTGTTTAAATTAACCAGAATTTCCCCATTATGGGCATAACCATAAACTTTGGTTAGTTTAAAACAGAAAGTAAATGCTTTGGAAATTCAGTCGTATTTGGGGAAGAAGTGGTAGCCTATGGGCTGCTTTACTCATTTCTAAGTGTGCCAGATTTGCTCCTTTTTCTCTTCACCAACCCATGTCTATGCCTCAAAGCTCTCTACTGTCGTGAACATTAAGAACGTGATGTGACTATTTGGACCTGACAGCTGCCTAATTGCTGATTTCACAACCATGCAATTAGTAGCTTTCCTAGAGACAACTCTTCTTTGCCTGGGCGTCTCGCTGGGGCAGCCTTACTTGTTTGTGACTGAATAGGCCTGTTCCTAGGGCTGCACTGTACAGCCAACAGTTACCTACCTGTAAAGCAGGGGAAGGGACCCTGGGACCCTGTTAAGACTCACAACACCCGTCAGCCCATGCCATGATGGTGGGAGCTGAAGTCCAGCAACACAGCGATGTCTGTGGGTCCTTCGCCCCTGCCGTCAAGAAAAGAATTCAGTGGATGTGCGGTGAAAAGTTCCTTGTAACTAGAATCTTACTTAACAGCAATCACGAGTCCCATTTATGTGTTTTTATGTTCATTTCTGTGATCAGCAGGGCAACAACTCTGTACCATCTCAATGAAAAGGATGCTTCCATATGCTGGGCAGGAGGGGGACGAGTTTCTCTTCCTTTTCTCCCTCAAACAGCCCCTTTCCTCATAGAACAAAAACTGGACTATTGAAATACCTAGCTAATGATGTTGCCACGTAACTGCCATGGAGGTTTATTTTTGTTTTTTGTTACAATGTGATAACGGTTCTCCAGGCTTTGAAAAATAAATCTTTGCCTTCCCTCAAAGGAAGCTCTTACCATTCTAAAGACTCTTTTCATGTCTTTGCAGTTGAAGCACAAACTCTTGATTGGGGAGAAAACCCTGGATTCCTTTTGGGAGGTGGGAAAGGGAATGTACGAAAGTTATCCAAATGTCTAAATGAAGTAAGCTTACAAATAAAATGAACACAACTATAATTGGAGCCTGCTGTTGCATTTTAAATATAAAGGACCTAAAATACCAACAAATTGGTTTTTAAAGTATTTTAGGTTTTGATGCTTAATACCTCACTGTTTCTGCATGATTTGAGCCCTCAAAATAAGTGAGCTTTCAAACATACTTTCATTCTCCTTTACAATGTAACGGATACCTTGGTCTTCAAAGCATGTGAAACCTGGTGGTAACCAGTACTGTTCCCATAACTAAAGGTAAAGGTACCCCTGCCCGTACAGGCCAGTCTTGACAGACTCTGGGGTTGTGCGCCCATCTCACTCAAGAGGCCGGGGGCCAGCGCTGTCCGGAGACACTTCCGGGTCACGTGGCCAGTGTGACAAAGCTGCATCTGGCGAGCCAGCGCAGCACACGGAACGCCGTTTACCTTCCCGCTGGTAAGCGGTCCCTATTTATCTACTTGCACCAGGGGTGCTTTCGAACTGCTAGGTTGGCAGGCGCTGGGACCGAGCAGCGGGAGCGCACCCCGCCGCGGGGATTCGAACCGCCGACCTTTCGATCGGCAAGCCCTAGGCGCTGAGGCTTTTACCCACAGCGCCACCCACGTCCCTGTTCCCATAACTAGAACTTTGTTAAAGCAATACATGAAAAATAGTAGTCTTAATAAATCTACATAAGGTATCTTTTTTTCTTTTTTAGAAACTGTTACTAATATTATTATGGTCATTTTTCATACAGAATGGTGATTGACATAAGCACATACAAAATGCAGTAAGAATAATGAGTGTAACAAATAAAAATAGTAAAATGAAATGAAATTAGATTAGAGGGGAAGGGAAAACCGGGAGGCAACTGAGTGCGCAGTGCCACATACAATTGATCACCAAAAAGAAAAAGGTGAGTCAAATTAATTATCGAAAAAGCTCCATATAGTTTATCTGTTGAGCAGGGGATTTAGTGGGCTGTGTGCATGAGTTAACAGGAGAAAAGCTTAAACCAAGTCAAATACCGTAAATGTGGTCTATTTTTGATTAACCATTTGTGTATCAGGTGTTCTGACAGTGCAATGCCCCACACTTTTGAGAAGGAGGCTAGTTGGATTTCCAGTGGGAAGCCACTCACAGTTCCAGCTGCGACAAGAAGCATAAACACCAGAGATTTACACATTAGTATTGGGTCTGGAAGTGTGATAAACCTAATTCCATTTGCAGACGCAATATTAAACAGAGTTGACGGTGGATTATCCACATAACTTTCTTGATTTACCTATGGTAGATCAGTTACCAGACTAACCACAAAGAACTATGTATTTTCTTGCCAGTCCACAGCGTGAAAACTTCTTACAGAGTGGCAAGAGGCACACAACTCTCAAAATAAAAACAAAGAAACCTTTATTTCTTGAAAACATAGAAAGCCAAACAGAAAATATCTCTTCTGCGTTGAAGATAATACAAACTGATGTTCTGTATCCAGAATAATATTTTAACATCAGAAAATATCATATGATCAATTTTTAAAAGGGAGACATTTTGGTATCTTGTCAGAAGAGGTGTCATTGATAATACTGAGTGAGCTGAATGCACCTGACTTCCACCATTCATATGTGCTTAGCACCAGAAATTAAAAACCAACATTCAAAATAAATTTATTTCTACAAAAATGATTGTTTAATTGCATTGATAAGCCTAAAGACTACAGTTGCACGGACCAGTATATTTTAATATACAATTTTCCAGTGAGTTGGCTGTTCACAGGTACTCTCTTCATCGCCACAAAATCTGTTGTAAGTTGTTTTGGGATCAAAACCCAGAATCTCTCTTTCCTCATGAATGCGGAAGGAAAATGTTGAGACTGAGGTACCTATAAAATATCTGTGAAGGAGTACAGAAAAAAAGTAAGAGAACCTTCTGCTGCACATTCATGATATGGAAATCAGCTTGTTAGGATGCATTCTGACACCAGCTATTGATGTGTCCAAAGGGGACTGTGAGAAGAGTACAAGGTTCATGCAAAGAAACCTCCACTTGACACCAATTTTCAAACTCTCCTGTCTGAAACAGCCATGTTAACTGATTCACAAAGTTAGGGGAAAGTTGGGTTGCTTAAACAGTTGCACTGTAAACCATTTAAGATGCTATGCCTGCTGAGTCAAACACAGACATACGCAGAAATTAGCAGGTAAACCCTGAGCACCTGCAGGTCAAAGAATCTCAGGCAGCAATGCTGAGAATGTTACACAAATAGCGTTACCTGGAAAAGACAGTTCTGGCCTAGAGGGGCCGGTGGCTCCACTCAGCAGAAGGCACTTCTGATAAAGCAAATTTTAAAGATGGGTGCCAATCTGAATTTTTTCCTATTATTTATTTTTGCATATCATAGCATGAGTGAAGTTGGCCTAACTTGATATAAAACATAACTCTCAATCAGTGGCATGTGGTCAGTGGACCGGGGGACAACTAGGCTCATCTCCTAAATGTTCCCCCGGTGCCTCCTTCCCAAAGCCTTGGAAGCTTCTGCCCAGCTTAGGGAGGCACAATGCTCGCTCCTTGCAAATCGCCCTCACAAGCTGGCCATAAGCCTCTCTTCATTAGGGCAAGCACATTCATATGCATGAAGACTGCTCCAATAGAAATGTAAAACAAAAACAACACACAAACCATAGTCACCTGGCATGTGCACATATCCACTGATCAATAATTGCTATTCCTCCATCTTTGTAGAGTTCCAGCTCCTCCCAGTTAGGTTCAAATCTCACCATCTCTGGAAGAAGTCTCTTCAACTCTTCAGTCTCTGAAAAGGGACACGACGTCAGTGGCCTTCAGCTGGTCCCCACTCTAAAGGGGGTCACACTAGAAGCAAAACTACCATTTTCTCCCTGCTTATTTAAGTGTTGATGCTTTTAATAAAGAGAAATGGGCACACACAGTAAAAAAAGGGAGTCTAAAGGTGTCCGGAGCTGAAGATCTACTGTGGTAGATCACTGTCCCATAAAAACATTTAATTCAGGGGAAAGCCATCGGCTCACAAGCCCTTTCTAGTGGCCTACAAAAGCCTCCCACATATTGTCCAAGGTAAAGGGACCCCTGACCATTAGGTCCAGTCGTGACCGACTCTGGGGTTGCAGCGCTCATCTCGCTTTATTGGCCAAGGGAGCCGGCGTACAGCTTCCGGGTCGTGTGGCCAGCATGACTAACCCGCTTCTGGCGAACCAGAGCAGCGCACGGAAACACCATTTACCTTCCCGCCAGAGTGGTACCTATTTATCTACTTGCACTTTGACGTGCTTTCGAACTGCTAGGTGGGCAGGAGCAGGGACCAAGCAACGGGAGCTCACCCCGTCACGGGGATTCGAACTGCCGACCATCTGATTGGCAAGCCCAAGAGGATCAGTGGTTTAGACCACAGCACCACCTGCGTCCCTATTGTCCAAGGTACTGGACAAATATGCACAGCAGCTGCAGCGCCTGCGTCTAAGTGCGTAGATTCAGTTTAGAACAAAAGATTAAAGTATTGGGTTTTGTTTCTTTAAAAGCTACATACCCTTTGCAATGGCATCAGTGGCTATAAAGACTCTCTGAAGTTTGTGCAACTTCAAGAGCCTTCGGATGGTCTCCACTGCTCCCTGGATGCTAGGCACGTCATTTCTGTGACCCCAGATGAAGTCTTTGCGCCTGAGGTGGGCTCCAAGATAGGGGCCCCCTATGGCCGTACCCAGCTTTACCTAGCACAGAAGAACCAGTACATGCTGAAACTGAAATAAAATGGCATTGATTCAGTGGGAAAACATCCTGCAGATAAGCACATGTTCTCTAGCATTGTTAAAGGAAGAAGTCTTAAGATGCTAATTGGTCAATGCTTAGCAGAACTTGGCAAAGCTCCAAGTCCAGCTTACCAACCATCTATTTTCAGAGTAATAGGCTTTTTGGTGACACTTTCTGAAAGAAAAAGGTGATGCCATCAGCTCTTTTGATTCTGATTACTGTATTTTTAACACCTGCAAGCCACTTGGGGGCTTTTGTCTGGAAAGCAGCAGAAAATGCTGCACCGGGTGACTGGTTGTCTCGCTCCTCTTGAGAAATTCCCAGCAGCTGACCCACTGCCTTCTCCTCCTTTGGATTTTTAACTGTTTACCAGACTGGAGAGTTGATTTTTTAATTTTTATTTTAAATCTGAACAGGGAGTGGGAAGGGAAGAAGCAGCTCCTTACAAGTAAGGCAGAGTAAGTGGCTCAGTCAAGGCCCCATTCACTGATGAGAACCAGCATTCCCAGAAAAGCCAATATTCCCTTTCTATAGCACATCTCATCACACTTGAAAACACACGGGCTCCATTCCTTTATATGAGCCTCATATAGACACTCCCAACAGAAATGCAGATAGAACAGAAAATAGTGAAGTTTAAATATTCAGGCAAACTTATTTTACCTTCATCTTTGTCCAGTCCTCAGAATACTGTGTCCTATCCTTCTCATCAGTAGAATTTAAGAACTTGGTCCTAAACATGTCCCCCACCACACGAAGATGCTTAGCAAAAACCATACTTCGACGTGTCTGCCACGAAAAAATAAATAAAATAAAATGATAAAGGACTAAAGTTCTTCCAAGATCTAAAACAAAAATTCTTTAAAGGCACAGTCCCAATGTTATTTAGCGCCACACAGATTAAACCAGATGTATCCAACAACACCAAGTCAACTACTGGAGAAGCAAAATTCAATGGATGGATTTTATACGCATATTACGGAAGCACTCTATAATCCAGTTTTTATGTAATACAGTTTGAAATTTAATTACTGAAAGGATGGGATAGTCACTCTACCAAAACTCTAAAATATTAATCCTGCAGTATTTGAAATGCTTCATTCTAGGTGAAGATT